GATGACTAACCAACCATTGAGGAAAAGTTCATGCATCACAAAGTAGCAAGACATAGAATTCATTCATAACTATTATGGAATGTTTTTATGCAACTAAGAAAATGTTTAATATTTAAATATTAATATTTAATATTTAAAGATACATTTTGTCTTTTTTGCTTATGAGTATCAGATTATTGTTAACAAACCATAATTAATGATTAGCTTCTCTCAATGTGAATAATAGTGAATAATAATGACAGAGAAAAATGTAAAATGGTACAAATAGCAATAAATGATAAATGAATAATATAAATGAATACAAAACGATTCAAGTTCAAACAAAAAATAAAATTCAATATTTAAATGGTAAGTACAAATGATTACTGCACTTGACAGAACAGACCAGGTGTACATGGGACTCTGCTGAGCTGAGCTCGCATACAAAGTCATATCCAGGAAAATGGATAAAAATGCTGCTCAATTCTAACTAACAATTACTATAGCTAGCATGTGATGCTAGCTCTAACTATCCAGTGAAACTCCAGTGAATAGCATTGTGTCTTTCAAATGAAAATCTAAGTGTTCAATGATTTATGGGTAGGACATGGTAAATATTGACTCTTGTATGGGGGAACTATCTGTCATAAAGATCTAACTTTGCATTTTCACCTTCCAAAGAAATGTGGAAATGTATTGCTCTCTCCACAACCAAAACATTTCTGGAGCCATAAATCTCAGGAATGCCATTCAGATTAAATGTCTAATTAGCTCATAGCTATTCAGTAATGTGCTGAGATTAAGTTTGGCCCCATAACTTCATCAGGAGAGAAAATAAGAGCAGGGGACAAGATTGGTACTGTGCTAACTTTCTTCCCCAAGCTACTATACTTCAAATATACAGGTCTGACACTAGTTTAACCCCTTAAACTAAGGCTTATTATTCAGTTATTAGTTTTAGATTTAGATTTTGTTATTTAGACTTAGTTTGAGACTTATTACTCTGTCACTACTATCAATTATTCAGTAACTACTGCATTATTCAGTACTAATGTTCTTGTATGAAGTGATTAGAGTGAGTAATTGAAGTACATCTCCTTGCAGGTACTTAGAACTTAAGCGGGCTACAAATTTGTTAAGTTTAATGTAACATAATACCATTTAGATGCAGATAAACTGCCAAAAAGATCAAAGAATAAAATTAAAAGAATAGGGAACTAGCCTTATTAATATAAATGTAAGACATATCTTTTTCTTTGCGCTGGCACAGTAATTGACCTCATAGTGTTAAAGAAGCTGAGCTGACCTATTTTTTTAAGTTAAAAGGTTTGCCCCAGTTCTAACTAAAGAACGTAACAAGGTGAAACTTCTGATTCCATGAGAAGGCAGAAGGAGCCCAGCAGGATGTCACACCCAGCAGGAACTGCTACTGTAAATTGTTTCATATACTAAACAATGGTGCTGACGTTTCAAGCGAAAGAGTCTCAGAGGAAGCCATAAAACATCAGATTAACAGATTTAGTTTGTTTAAATTGACCACACTTTACACATTTTTGTTTAAATTTATTTTCTTTTTGAATTCAGTTTGGTGGCCATTGGCCCTAAATGCATAGCCAGGTGGAAACCAAAATTACAAGATTCCCTTTTAACCACTATAATTTTGTGAACCAGCCAAGACGATCGTTGTCTCGAGTTTGCTACTTTAGTTTTGCCCTGGAACTATGAGGCTAATGTAGTTAACATGTAATGGAAGATTATTCTCAGAAGTGGGAAGCTGGAGCTTGAATTAGGCTTCATATTCAAGCTCTGTGTTCAAGCTCCAAAGATGGAAAAACCCACACACCTACATGAAAGCCTAGTACTAGTACTGTAAGCAACAAGACAGCCAGATAATATCAGTGCTATGAGTGATAAGTTTAACGTTCATGAGGTATTTACTTTATCAAAACTGTGAACTTAAAGTCCCGAGAAAAATACAGAGTAAAGTATTCAAAATGTTTGTATGATACTAAACCTGCATATTATATTATGCAAAGCAAAGCTTGAATAAAAAATGTAAGATATAAATATGATAAAACATGCTTAAAAACACTAATCAGACAAATTTGAGAGCTGTGTGGGCGTGGCTAATGAGCAGCTTGATTGACAGCTCTCTGTTTAACGCTCCTAGCCTGCTCCGCCAAATCATTATCCAGCTTTTCTGTGAACGTAACTGGGTGAAAAAGTCACGGTCAAACAGACATGCAGACAGACGGATAGACAAACAAACAGATCAATGAAGCGACGCCTGAATGAAGGAACAGATTAACGAACAGTGTTCATGTGTGGATAAACTACTGAACAAGCAGCTACACACAGGTTTTCTAGCTTGCTAGCTTTTGGATATGTTGTGTTAGCTTTAGCTCAATAAGTTTCTGGAACTCTAAAACTGTGTTGTGTGGGCGGGTCAAGAGACGCCAGCCTCGTGATTGGTAAGGGGAATGCTTAAGGAACTGTTACCCGAAATTCGGACCACCCAGTTTACATTGAGAGGAGAAAAATATGGTTAAATATATCGTTATCTATTGGCCATTGGAACACCATTCAAAGAGTACATGATTCCTGATTGCCTGCAAGAACAAGATTAACCTAATTAGAAAGAAAGCACAGATAGAGGTTCCCTGGGCCATTAATGGTCGTGTTATAGATTGATCCATTTGCTGTGTCTGTAAGTTGACGGATCTAAGGCAAACACATTTAAAAGTGGAAGTGGCCAGGTTGATATGTCAAAGTTGAGATCACCATTACAACTTTCCCAGGAATTCCCAGTTAAGCGGCGTTTTTTAGATTTTTCCCTGTCGGAGGCTTTAGATGAATGCAGGATTGTACCTTACAACTGTGATGAATTGTTTAGTAACCTCACATGACCTATTTATGTTGTTTCTGACACTGTATGGCATACTGTTATCTATAAAATGGACGGAAAAGTTCACATAGCTAAAAACAATGTGACGCCTGAATTTGAAGCCCATACTTTAGTCTGTTTTTTTAGAAAATTGAGTTAATTTGTGTACATTTTTACTTTTTAAGTTTCTTTGAGCAAATGCATAAACACAGTGACTAAGTGTGTACAGAAAACCAATACATGAGTTGATCCAATCCTTAGACCTAATTATATATTTACTTCCTGAGATGCTGCTCTTTTGCAGACTGAAATATACAACACTGTAATCTTCATGAGCCCCAGACGGTAATTGACTAACACCGTCTGTGAATTTTTCTTTTGATGTCTAAATGTTGTGAGACGTCTTAATGATTCATCTGTTTTTAGCACGTTTTGCGTGACATGCTTCACTAATGTCAGACACATTCCTGGACTGATAATGAAGCTTACTCACTGTCTGACCTCTGAGCAGTTACACGCAAAAGTTAAAAACACTGGGGGCAAAGAAACTGCATGAGCAATGACGTCTTTAAAACAATGATTGCATTACATATTCACAAAAACAAGCATGTGTAAGGTTGTCTTTAGGTAATAGGAAACTCTCAAAAATTGTTTTCCACCAGTTAGTATCGCTTAGAGCAAGAGGACGTTTGTTTCTTCATCAAGGAAGAAATGACTGTACTGAGTGTACTGATAAAGTAGAGACCATTTTTTGTTTAAACTGAGGAGCTGACAACTTATTTTCTTAACTAGAACTAGGTCAGGTAGCTAACAGCCTAAAATCTCCATCATTAATATCACAGGCTTGAATTAAAGTAATTACAATATAATTCACTGTAAAACGGCAGCATAAAAGTCTATACAATGTCACTTGAATGGATTACACGCTTCAAATGTCCGTATTTTACTCAGAAGCAGCGTCAAACCAGGGCTGAATCCCAAATGGCTCCATACTCCCTAAATAGTGTACTAGGTATGTAAGTTTAGAAATTTCTGCCTCCAGAGCCAACTAGTGCACTATTTGTCGAGTATGGATGGCTGAATCCCAAATGACTATTTTTAGCAACATTATGCACTGTTGGAATCAGAAGCCAGTATTTAAATTTTTATGTATAATGTAGTGCACTATGTAGAGAGCGGGGAACCATTTGAGATTCAGCCCAAGTGTGAGAAGAGGGGCACCGCTGGATTGGTGCTAAATAAGCCTCGCAGTGGTAATCTTGTGACCAAAAAGTACTTAGAAAGTGAAGCAATAAGCCACTTGAGGCTGTGCGTTACTGCGATTTTATCACAGGGAAGGGCACGTTCTTGTTCTTAGGCACAACCCACAGCCTCTTGTGGCTTATTACAGAGATAGTATCTGTTGGTAGTTTTGGGGACTTGGTGACCCCAAGATGCTACTTTTTTCTGTAACTCTCCAGCAGTCATCCGTGGGATTTTTTTTTTTTTTTGCCTAACTGGGAAAAATCAAAGAAAAATCCCTCTCAACCAGGAATTCATACTCTAAGCATATGATGTCAAATCAACCTGACTGATCACACCGTCAATAGTATAAAAGAACCACCTCTCTACTTTTTTTGCTTTACATCTGTCAATAATTGGCTAAATCTAACATTGACTGTAAAGTTTGCTGTTTTGATTAACGTTAACTGGCTTATCGTCTTGCCATGAATACCTGCGTTAATTTTATGTTTTTCTCCACTTTGCAGCTTGAAACAAAATTATGCAATTCTGAGTTTCGACTTCCTACTTCAGAGCCAAGCACTAGAAATTCTTAACCATGTCAGCGTGTTTACTAATGTCAAGTTATTCCTAATAAGGTCATTTTATCCGTAGTTCAAAGCAATATTTGCTCCACCATCCTAAGATGTTTGCTACAGTCAGAAGTGACTTAGGCCAGTCCAAAACTGCAACCAGAACTTCCACCTTAGTCTCAACCCTTTAGCAAAGCCAGTCTAACACACTTCTCATTTCCATGTGTAACAGAACATTTTATTTGTTCTACATCATTTTACACAATTTTAACATTCTTGAGGAGAAAACTGATGTCCTCTACACTGCAGATTGGTACCAATGTCGACTTTGAAACACCAATAAAAAGAAAAGGAGGAATCACTTTCCCCGATGAGGAGAGGGGGAAAAGGAAAAAATAGCAACCCAAACCTGAAAAACATTGTACAAACATGAGAAATATTAGAAAACTATACACCATTGAATGTGCTTGTTTTACAATCTCAAATGTTGTGTAAATATATTGACATACTGACTCGCCAGTTGGAGCAATCAAAACTAAATTGCGATGCTAAATGAAATAGATTTCATTTTATCAATATAGAGCATGCTGAAAACAGTGGGTGGTTTGCAGACGTTTCAGTAAACGGGGACAAACTGAAACAAAATAAAGCCTGAGATAAAGGATAACACCGAGGTTTTTAAACCAGCAAATAATAGAAATGGCAGATATGCATCAGGTGTTTATGGCATTTACGAAGGGGAAAACAGACAACGTTCCTCTAAACAGGAGGGTGGTTGGATTAAATACAGTTCAACACCAAAACAGAAAAGCTACGCCCCTCCGTTAGCATTTAAGTCCAGCATTAGTATTTGTTGTCCTGGAGCAACTTCATGTTTATTATTCATTGAATATGTAAATTCCAGTCCAAGTGTTGAAATCAAACTGAGCATTTTCTATCTTAAAGCCAATGGCCAACAAAGGAATAAGATTTTTTTCTTCAGAAACAGATCAACACAACAAACCCCAGATAATAAAAAAAACAATAATGCAAGCTCCCACACAGTTCCTCACAAAGCATGAAGGTGGATGGAGACATAGACTGCATTAGAATGGCCATGTGACCGATATATAAATAAGACGCACTGTAGCGTTCAATAATCTCCAGGATACACGCTGCAGGATAAGTGTGCGAAAGTCCGGCTGCCCAGCTTCTCCAAACACACACACAGACTTCAGTCACAATAAATACAACTCCAGAAGCTCCTCTTCTCTGATAATGTCCATAAGCACAAGAGCCAGTGCCAATATTTTAGTTCAGGACAACCACTAGATGGCAGCAGTTTCAAGGTCTTGAACTGGGTCTGATCTCATGATAGACGTTTGTTTGCTTGTTAACAAACACAGCATTAGACAGGTATATGTGTGTGATCACACAGGCAGGGAATATCTTTCACTTTAAATAAACTTTGCCCATGCAAATTCAAAATCATCCATTACAGTTTGTAACTAATCACAAGTGGCTGTGAATGCGCCAAAGGCTACACAGTGAAAACACCAGTGTGCATTTGAAAAAAGCAGGATAAAACTCTACTGTCAGCGCTTTCAATGTTTCCAAACACTTTTTTTCGCTGATGATTATAGAGGTAGTTTCACATTTCAAAAGGGATATGGAGTTTTTTTTATTCTTTTGGGACACCAGTGCCAATGTCTAATAATAATAATAATAATAATAATAATAATAATAATAATTTGAAAACAAAGAAGGAAAGAAAAGCAAACAGTTCTTGCCTTGTAAAGATATTGAGGTTAACAAAAAGAAAAAAAAAACAAATACTATAAGTCTATGTGAGACATGGTAGAGTTCACAACAGGATAATTCCTGTAAGCTCCTACAGGATTCCATAGGTTTCCTCATTCATCTACTCTCTTATCGCACTTTTTGGAAAAGTTGACGGGGAGAAGAAGGACTCTGGGGCTTTGGAGATGTTTTAGCAGTCCTTTTCTCCAATCCAGAGAGAGAAACAGAGGGAGAGAGAGTGTGTCGTGGCTTCAGGTAGGATGGAAGCAGCACCTGAAGCTTAGCTAGGGTAGTTTTGAGCAGGGTTAAACTGGGCAAGACTGGGTTAGAGCTGGAAGCCTTCCATTGGCCCCTCAGGCTGCTGGAAGATGTACTGGCCCTGGTTCTGATCCACCTGAGGAGCGATGCTGGCATCCTCCTCTTCCACGCCGAAATAATGCTCAATCAGGTCAAAGGCCTTCTGGTAAATCTCCTGATTCTCATGACTCTGGAGAAACTCAATCTTATCAAGACCTGAAAAAACCCACAAAAACAAATACATCAATCACATGTGGAATTTTGAATGCTGCTGCCATCTAATGGAGTGATGCGAAACTGTGGTGACAGACTTTATACACACTTTATTAGTTTCTATGTGATACACACTTGTGTTTATTTTGCTGGAAACTGTGTGCTACTGGTATTTGTCTTAATAAACAAGTGCTTGCTTCCCCATGGAAGTGCATTTTTATATTAATGATCAAATTTCTTAAATATTTTCAAATATTTTTTGTAGCCCTACTAAACTACTACTGAGTGAATGTGTGTACCGTAAGCCTCCTCGATGAGTGCACAGTAGGGGTTAATGCCAGTGCCGTTCTGTTTGGACTCCTGTTCTCCAAGTCTGAGGATGTTTTCCAGGCCATTCAGAGCAACCTGCACTATCTTGGAGTCCATCACCGTCAGCAGGTCACACATTGGTTTAATGCAATTCAGTGACACCAGATACCTGTTAAAAAAAAAAGAAAAAAAGAACAATTAGCCCAGCAATAGAGGCTAAATAAAATTAACAATAATCCTCAGAAGTCACAATTATTGCTGGTGATGACAAAAGCATGCTGCATCTGTTATCAAAGCTCACTTAACAGATTCTAAACTTTCAATCCCATGCAACATTTGTGCTTGTAAGTATAACAGAAGATATTTTATGATTTGAGTTTGATGTCTTATTTTGCAGAAAAAAAACATACTGGTAATTTTGTGACGTTGCAAGAAATAATGTTGAAAGTACTGAATTATCTAAAGTAAACTGAATATATATCAAAACAATAACTCATAGACTTCTAAAGGCAAAAGCTGTATTCTATTAAGGACACAATTATTTTTTGTTCCCTGATCAAAGCAGACCAATCTACCAGATTATTGCATAATATATATTATACTGACATGATTTCGAATGAAAACTTAGTCATGTGTGTAAAAGATGCAACTAGTCTATGAAGCTTTGCAATGTAGAAGAAGAGCGATGTGACTGAACCTGATCTGCTCTGGAGTGCCCCCACTGGTGGCATTTGTTATTGCCCATGCAGCCTCCTTCCTGGTGCGGAACTCTGCCTTCTGCAGGATCTCAATCAGCACAGGAAAGATGTTGGCATCAATAACCGCCTGCAAATAAATAAACATAAATAAAAAAGTCATTACAATCTATAACCACACTCATTAGTATGTCCACACAGGACCCATTGTGGAAGATTTGCAGATTACGAAGAGATTACCCGAATGAATCTTAGGTTTCAAACGAAAACAATTTACATACCAAGAGATGCGTGCATACTCACCATTGTAAAATATATTTTCATATTATACATTACTACATAAAATAGCTTGAGTTGGCATCTAGAGCCAAATTTAAATCATTTCAGATTATTGCATGAAATCAGTAATTTATTTGCTTACTAAGGATGAAAATAAAATTGATTTTTGAATAAGACTGTTAACCTTACAATTGCAAAAATATATACAGGTTTTTACCATAATTCAACTGTATGTATGTAGTTAGTAAACAAATAAATGAATGCATTTTGGCAACAAAAAAAACTTAGTAGGAACAAACTTAATTTAGAGATAAAAAAAACAACACTTTCTAGCTCTGGACTGAGTCCAAGCACAGACTACACAACATTCCAAATGGAGATTCTCTGTTAAAAGAAAAATGTAGTCCAGGGCTAGGCTTAATCCCTGTCTGTGAAACCTAAAGGATTAAACAACTTCTCTGTGTTTTTTTTACTCTATGGTAGTGTTGTAATCAGGACCACTACAAGCGAGCCTGAAGTAACCGAGACCTGAACAGATCGAGTCAAGACTGAGACGTTGTAGTAGTTGAGTCTGAGACAAGCCAGAGACCAAAATAAGTTTTTTTTTCAGAATATAAAAATTAAAATGAAGAAAGCCATTAAATATTAAATAAAAACATAATAATAATAATAATAATAATAATCTTATTTCAATCGGCTCTCAGGGGATGTTGGAATTTTGGAACCAATAACATCAATTAACAAATAATACTCAGTTAAGCCATCACAGAAAGATCTCCAACCAGCAGTGAAAAGATTTTATTTATAGAACATGTAGAGAAACTACTGTTTTGTTTGTTTTGAAGGTTTGGGTCTTGTGCATAAATGACAGAAAAAAGCTCCATTTCCAATAACTTCAGATGGAGGCACTGCACTCAGCTAGCACTGAGAACAGAGTCCACCTTACACCAAGACACAGACCAAATGATGTTGAAACTGAGAATGATTATTTATCAGACTTGATATATACTTTACGGTACTTCTTGTTTTCCCTCAGCAGTTCCTGAGACAAGTTTGTTCGGGATCATTTTGTGGCCTCGACCTGTGCGCGCTGTGTCCATGTGTACCTGTATCTGTGCTCTGTTTCCAGCAGTGATGTTGGACACTGTCCAGCATGCCTCCTTCTTAATGGACTCTTTAGGGCTGCTGAGCAGATGAAGCAGGCAGGGCAGCGCTGAGCAGTTCAAGATTACCTACAGCAAGAGTGCATAGGCATGATACAGTATAAGTGTACTTGTAAAGACAATATAAAAGCTACATTTAATTCTGTCTCAACACTAACAAGTGATACAACAACTTTATTTGATTTCAGCTCAGATTTTACTAATACCTCATTTTATGTTTACCATAGTGTGGCAAAAAACCTTTTCATACAATTTTCACAACATCTTCCACTTATCCCCAGATATAGTCTAGCCAAGACGTGTTTGGTGCCTTTAGGCTTAGTTTTGCACTGGGGACATGAGGCTAATGCAGCTAACAAGCAATGGAAGCTTATACCAGACAACTTAGCATCGTGCCTAAATCATCACACAGTTGCCTGAACCTTTGCAGAGTTGTTTAACAATCTCAAACAGACTTGCTTATGTGGTTTCTGACAGTGTATACACTGTTAAAAGCATCTATGCTTTTGTGTTTTGCCTTTTTTTTACGCTTTAAAAACTTCTAGCATGGAAAGTTGTGACAGGCAGAAAAAAAGGACATCAACAGGTGATATAAAGCACTCAGACATTCAGTAAGACCCTTCAAAAGCAAAAACCAAAGAGAAAAAGGTTTTTTGTACCTGGGTCTGAATATCATCTCCAGTCACAATATTACCCACTGCCCTCAGAGCAGGAGACACCACCTTATAATCACTGTGCCTGAGAGATAACAACACACAGAGAGAAGAAGCTTTGAGCTAAAAGACACAGACACAACACATGAAACTGATCCCTGTAACATATTAAAAAAAAAAGCTGTAATGGGGCAACCTCTAAAAAAAACCTTTAAAAAATCCAGAAAACAACAAAGATGGGCCAAATAACAGGTCAGTAAATAATCCAACAGATTAAAAAAAACATTCATTAACGTGCAATTGCAAGAAATTACAGATATGTCACACCCTCTGGTGCATAATATCAAAGTTTCAGGCAATCCTGAGAATTCTCTACGCGTAAAGGGCAAGGCGAAAACCACAACTGAATATCTGTGACCTTCGATCCCTCAGGCAGCACTACATTAAAAGCGGGCATGCTTCTGCGATGGACATCTTCACATGGGCTCAAAAATACAAATGTCTGTCAATAAACGATACTTGTTCCTGCACTGCTGTCGACTTCTCTGGGCTATAGCTCATCTGAAATGAACTGATGCAGAGAGGAAACTTGCATTGTGGTCTGACGAGTCAAGCTTTTAGATTATTTTTGTAAATAACAGAAGTCATGCTGATCGGACCAAAAAAAGAAAAGAGCCATCTGGATTATTACTAGCAAAAAGCTCAAAAGCTGGAGTCTGTCCTGGTGGAGTGGAGTAATTAGTGCCCTTGGCATGTGTAACATAAACACCTGTGAGGGCACCTTCAGCACTAAATTATATACGCACATTTAGCTTATTGTCATGTTCATTTCACCATGACATGCACACTGGTATAGTTGAGCAATGACAAAAAATATCTGCGTTCAAAACTGAATCAATTGGTGGTGATGTAATACAGTAGTAAACATGCTCCTGTCTCAACTTTTGTTGAATATGTTGCAGGCATCAAATTTGGAATCTCTGTATACTTACAAAAAAACAAGTTCATATGGTATTGAACCATCCATCCAATAGCTTTGGTATTCATATGGTATCATATGATATGGTAGTGTTTTCAGTTTAAAACAGGTCAAAGAGAACTTACTTATCACTGCTTTCTGTTTTATCAGCATTTCACATACTGTCCCAACTTTTTTTGGAATTGAGGTTTAGGTTTATACTTTTTGCTGAATTACATGAATACTTTGATTCTAAAAAAAAAAAAAACAGTCACAAAAACTCATCTGGAACTGTGACTGGTCAGGTAAAAACACTGTAATTCGTCAGAAGTCTCATTTGCATATTGCAGTCTTCACAGTATCTGCTATATAGATGTACTGAGAAGACCAACATTAGAATAATCATTAACAAACAAACAAAATATACTGTGCAATCCTAGTGTCCATGAGTGTGTGTCTCTCACATGAGCAGCTCCACCAATCTCCTGCACACTCCTGAATCGATGACAGCCTGTATTTTGTCATTCGGACCATCGGACAGATATGAGAGCGCCCAGCAAGCGTCTGCCAGCACGTCCGGATCACTACTGAACAGCAGCCTGGACAGAACACTCAGACATGGAGAAACCTGCAAAAGAACACACTGTTGTAAGAGTGGACCAGACCTTGCAAAAAAAAAAAAAATATTCAACCCCCTTGAAATGTATAAACATTTTTTCTGGACTACAAAGTATACGAAGGGAAAAGTTTCTCGTTTTTAGGTTTAACATACATATTTATTCCAACTAATTTTAGACCATTTAAATATTGGATTATTTCAGGGCTTAAAATACTCCAGTATTAAAAAAAAATGGTCCAAACTTCAAACTTTTCTTTAGTTTGGTTCATTCTGACAGATGTGTGCACTAAACAAATAAACCTTGGACTACCACAAACTGCCAGTCCGCTTCCAAGTGAAGTCTGGTTCAGTTTGTTGCATGTGAAAAAACATTTTTGGGTGTGCCAACATCAGAGCATGCTTTACTCTTCTTCTAGCAGGATGTCAGCGCTGTACTGTCTTCATAATCTGCCTGTTTTAACATTTGACTCTTTACTACACAGATACAGATATCGTTCTTTCAGTAAGAGTCACTGCTAATAATGGCAGACTGGAAATAAAATAATAGCAAAGCAATGTATTTGATTAAGGCACATAGAACACAGGATGCATTTTTGGCCAAGCATCAGTGACTAGATTGGTTATATTCATACTGCCAACCCATTCAAAAAAAGATGTAAGAGACACAGATGTCCAGCATCTCTTTCATGCAATGTAATAGGTGAGATAATACATTTATATCAGAAATATATGTAGATATGGATTTTATACATTGATAGGTTAGTGAAAATGAAAAAAAAAATCCAGAAAAAAACTTTGATACCAATGGAAAACATCAAACTTCTGATCAAGCAACAAAACTCTATGTCTAGAAATTGGTGCTCTTCAGCTGTTGCACTGTGAAACGAACTAAAAGATACAATGCCACAAAAACCCAAACTCTAGTGTGGACTTCGGCAATTGAACTAGGTGTGTTTACAGCTCTAAGGCCTGTTTCACATATACTTCCTCCGTGTGAGATGAGCAATGAGTACTTGCTTACCCTTGTCAGTTTTCTGACTTGTGACTGGTCAATCCTTTCAAGTCTACAGGTCTTGTGAAATGTTTAATTAGTATTTTGGTTAATAAAGACCATGAATTGATGTGATGGTCTTGAAATGAAAAGCAAGACATTCCATTCCAACTAATCAGCTAATCTACGAGCCCTCTTTGAGCTGAAACTGTTCTGATCACTGGTCTAAACACATTTGGACTAAAAACTCTAGGAAAAAACTAAGGAAATGGAGGAGGTATAGGTCGGCCTGCAGAAACATACAAATGTCATTCCATGTATAACTCAATTTACCTACCTTTGCAAAATCTGGAGGAGGGTTTTTGCCTCTGCACAGATTAGACAGTGCCCAAACGGCATTACGGGTCGTGGTGAGACGGTTCGATTTTGCAAGCAATCTATAAACACATACATACACACACACACACACACACACACACACACACACACACAGTTTGAGACCAAGTACACTTAGACACCTTTGAAAACTCTACATAAAGTCTGTGGTTTCTACACACAACAACAAATTACTGAATATTTTCATCAAAAAACCTGAAATACTTGTTGATCTCTTAATATACACTGTCTAATAAACAAAAAAGCTACTATTTTACAATTAAAATAAAATGCATACCAGCAGCCACTCTTTTTGTAACTGCCCAATTTTTTTGCCAGATTTAATTTAAAATTTGGATTTAAAGTTTAATTCCAACTAGGGCTTGGTGATATGGTAAGAATTTTTTCTTAATCTTAATATTTTCCTAGTTTTTAGCAGTAAATTAAAATATTCATGAACTCTCTCTTAAAATGGCTTATCCCATTCAATGGCCAGAATCTGCTGTCAGGTACCAATTTTTATCCTTTAACTTACATGTATTTAATTTTGAATTGTTTTCCATTGTTTTCCAATTAGCCTTAGCATGAAATAAGTCTGGGATTTTAAAAGGTGATTTACAAAAGGAAAATCCATAACATGGATTAAATTATACAATGAGACTTGGAAGTAAACACATCATTCCTATGGGGATTCAGAATCTTTTTATTTCATCTTAGCAGATCAAGGCAGCTTAACATGGTAGAAGAACACAGCTTTCCTGTTTTCCCACCTAAACAAGGAATCAAGTCCTAATGTACGGCAGTGGTTTTCTGGCCACTTCACAAATTACATTATTGCTTCAGGTTTTTGTTATTGAGATTTAATTATAATACATCTGAGTATCAGAAGTCACACATTAAAAATGCACATAAATACACATAAAACGTGCAGAATGAAGCACATTAAAGGAGAATTTCACCATTTTCTCAAAATTTATGCATAATTCCGTTATTAAAATGCAAACAAAGTGAATTAGAGTGGTTTGATGTGAAATACTCCGTTCTAAAGAAATTTGCTGAGTCAGAATTGTTCACAGTGGTGGTAATAGGGACCAGACATATGAAGAGTTTCACACCTCTAAAAGCTACCTCACAAAAGTATTAAATAAAGTGGTTGTGAAGGCACTACCTTGTGCCAGAGATGCTGTTGTACTATAGTTTTAAATAAATTTTTGGCCTAAAATGGATTTTTTAAATCCATTCCTGGTAAAGAGATACATAAAGGACATTGTAAGGCAAAACAGTCTCCAAAGAAAGACTTTTTGAATGTCTCATTGACTGAACTATGCAAGAATTTTGGTAGAAATCTAGGATCAACGCAAAACAATGGTTTTAATAAAACATGTCATTTTGTTTAAAAAAACAAAAAAAAACACATCATTTGTCATTCAGCGCTAATTCCAACCCTAATTTTTTTTGTTTTTTAACAATGACAACTGCCTGTTTTTTTGTGTTAGACCAAGCTTGAAACTAAAAAACGGCAGGCTGGGTGGGTCATATGAACATGTCCTTTGGGTAAACATGTAGGAAGGAATGTAGCACTACAGCACTGTCTGAGAACAATCACCAGCACACTGATCCTCCACCCTAGCACTTCAGCTAGTTCTGTGCTCAAATAAGCTCTGGTGTATATCTAATTCAGACTGTTAAGTATGCATGTACACTAGGTTTCCTGGACATGGATTATGCCTAATTTTAGACAAAATTTCACTGTTACTGGAGAATTTCCAATGGAAATTCTTTGTAGTCTACAATTTTAAGTCTTGGCTTAATCTGCCCTTTCCAAAAGTCTGTAGAGACCATCTAATTAGTGAATACAACCACTAAGGTGACACATTGCTGACACAGGCATTCAACTGTCCACACACAGCCTGTATAATCTGCATAGAAATGCACTTTTACTAGAATGGGATACTCTGGAGCAGGAGCACATGTACCTAAGATCACCATGCGCAATGCCAGGTATCGGCTAGAGGTGTATAAAGCCCCCCAGCACTGGACTGTGGAGTTGTAGAACTGCTTTGACTGGAATTAAGGAGCTCCATCCAATAGATTTTGGATAAGCAGAAGTGGCATTTGCGATACGGAACTAATCACCCAAAATCGGCATCTGACCTCAATAACGCTTATGTGGCTGAATGCAAACAAATCCTCACAGCTCACATGTTCCAACATCTAGTATAAAGCCTTCCCAGTAGAGCAGAGGCTGTTACTGCAGCAGGGGACTGCAAATATGGACAAACTTCCTACAGACAGTCTTGCTTGCAAAAGCAACATTGAATGAACAGGTGTTTCCGAACTTCAACACATATTGTACAACCCCTTTTCCAAAAAAGTTGGGACGCTGTGCAGAATGTAAATAAAAATAAAATGCAATGATGTGCAAATCATGTAAACCATATTTTTAAAGGAAAATACTACAAAGACAACATATCAAATGCTGAAACTGAGAAATTTTATTGTTTTTTGAAAAATATATGTAAAGTTGTGAGGGGGGGCATGTTTACCCTTGTGCTTCATCACCTCTTCTTTTAACAACACTCTGTAAGCGTTTGGAAACTGAGGAGACCAATGACCGCAGTTTTGAAAGTGAAATATTTTCATTCTTGTTTGATATAGGATTTTAGCTACTCAACAGTTCAGGGTCTCCTTTGTCATATTTTTCATTTCATAATGCGCCAAATGTTTTCAGTGGTGACAGGTCTGATCTGCAGGCACGTCAGTTTAGCGCCTGGACTATTAAAACGGAACAATGCTGTTGTAATACACACAGAATGCAGTTTGGCATTGTCTTGCTGAAAAAAGCAAGGCCTTCCCTGAAAAAGATGTCATCTGGATGGCAGCATATGTTGTCAAAAACATGTATATATTGTTCAGCATTAACGGTGCCTTCACAGATGTGCATATCACCCATGCCGTGTGCACTAATGCACCCCTATACCATTATGAATACTGGCTTTTGAACTGTGCACTGATAACAAGCTGATTGGTCTTTAGCCCAGAGGACACAGCGACCATGATTTCCAAAAAAAATTTCAAATGTTGATTTGTCGGACCACAGAACACTTTTCCACTTTGCATCAATCCATTTTAAATGAGCTCTGGCACATAGAAGGTGACAGCGTTTCTGGATCCTGTTCATGTCCAGTTGCTTCTTTTCATTTTAGTTTTAACTTGCATTTGTAGATGCAGCGACGAACTGTTTTCACGGACAGTGATTTTAAGAAGTGTCACTGAGCCCATGCAGTGATTTCCTCTACAGAATCATGTCTGTTTATAATGCAGTGCCATCTGAGGTCCCAAAGATCATGGCCAGCAAATACTGGTTTTTGGCTTTGTCCCTTGCATACAGAGATTTCTCCAGATTCTCTGAATCTTTTAATGTTATTATGTACTGTAGATGATGAAAAGCAAAAGTTCTTTGCTGTTTTACATTGAGATATTTTCTTCTTGAATTGTTGCACTGTTTGCTTGTTCAGTTTTTCATAGAGTGGTGAACCCCTCAACCCCTCTTTACTTCTGAAAGCCTCTCTGGGATGCATTTTTATACCCACTCATGTTACTGACCTGTTGCCAATTAACCACCTGGTGTTTTTTTAGCATTACACAACTTTACCAGCTTTTTGTTGCCCCCGTCCCAACTTTTTTGGACCGGGTTGTTGGCATTAAATTCAAAATGAGCATATATTTTTCAAAAAACAATAACATTTCTCAGTTTCAACATTTGATATATTGTCTTTGTACTATTTTCAATGAAATACAAGGTTTAAATGATTTGCACATCATTGCATTCTGTTTGTATTTATATTTCGAACAGCATTGCAACTTTTCTGGAAATGGGGTTGTATATTAGGAGTTTAAAAAGACACTGATGCTTTGTGATGCAATGATTTGAAGGTGGTGATTAAACTGCACTGGAAATGTTAGAGTGAATTAAAATATTCACTAGTATCCACTCATTTTTTGGTCAAAAATTGAAGCTTGGAAAAAAAATACCTTCATTTTTTATTGCCGATATTCCACTTGTACCAAAATAATAAAAACTTGGAGAAATTTGAGTTTTCATGAGGTGCTGAATCATTTCCTAAATAATCAAAAAAAATATCATTGTGAGGTCAGAGATTTACACTCCTTATGCAAGTGCATACATTACTCACTGTTGCAGGGATGGTAGAATACCGCAGCTCAGGACGAAATCTCTACACTCTGCATTGTCTCCCGCGATGTTACCTAGTGCCCATACAGCCTGCAAAACCAGACAGAATTCAGCAAACTCACTAACTCAGTATCTGTAAAGCAGGTATCCAACAAATGTTTATAATCATTAAGCTATTATATTGCTATTTGCTAGCATTGCCAATATTCTGACCATACTAGTTCAGTTTCCTGTGTTTCTCTGCCTAAAAGTGTAAAGCAATGATGTACAGAACTGTGTCACTACCCACAACATTCAAACCAGCAGAACCCACTAGCAGTATAATGCTATTCTGCCATTTTATTCGGTGTTGTACAGAAATCTATAAGAAGTTACTTCTGAGCTGCATCCTATTATGGATAGATAGACAGATAAATAGATCACTTTATTTAGAAGCATTTAAAAAAATAAAAAATAAAAAAACAACAGAAAAAACATACTAAAGTCTATAGGGAAAAATTTTGGAATAATCTGTCAAACTAGCTATTGCTGAAAAGGTCACCTGCTCCTGCACGTCTTCGTACTCCGAGTTAAGCAGCTCAATGAAAATGGGCACGGCTCCTGTCTCAATCACCACTTTAGTGTGCAGGAATGTCCCTGAAGCGATGTTGGTCAGGGCCCAGGCAGCTTCAAACTGTCCACAGTAAAAACAAAACATTAACCATTAAAATTCTTATTTTCTACACACTTAATCATGTTCTAACTAACAACTTATAAAAATAAGAAACACATGTATTTCACTAAATTAGTGAAAAGTACACAGTAAAGGTGAGTGATATAAAATATCCCAAACAAATATGACACCACAGGTGGAAAGTAAATTACATTTCATCTTTAATCTGCTTTAATTAGCACTGTGCCAACTAGATCCTTTCCACAGCACCCACCTGGAGAGTGCAGTTGTCACTCCTCTTTAAGAACTCCACAAACCTGCTTACAACACCTGGAGTGAGGATAACCTCATCGATAGGAGGATTGGGCTCTGTGAAAGAGTTCATAAGTTTATACCAATCAATTTGACACACCATGGACATTAATCTTAATATTAACACCAGAATATAAGCCTGAACCTTTGGAGAGTAATTTTCTGAATTTCTGGGTCGCTATTAGCTGCTGGTCTGGGTCTTCAGAGAATATCATCTGTACCATGTCTTGAGTTATAACTCCATCCTGTAATAAAAAGCACAACACTGTTAACAACTCTCCGTCTTGAGACCATTTAACGAGACTACATGGTTGAATACAACAACGATGCCATCATTTTGAAAAACCTGCTCACTGCATATGACTTCTTGTCCAAAGAGAGCCCAGTAGGGCTGTTACTAATGATTATTTAAGTAGTGCCTGTGCAGTCTACAGATTATTTTATATTACTTGAGATTTTTTTAACTTTGGCAGTACTCTTTGAGGTTCGCTTATATTAATAACACAAAAAGCGCTGAGGTCATTTAAGTGAGTTCAGTTTTTTTTTTAATTCAACTACATGTGAAAACACCCTAACAGAACTGAGTTCAGTTAAAAAAATAACTATATGTTAAAACAACCCCTAACACAACAAACAGACCTCTAAGAACATACTTACTCCAGATAAAGGGACAGTGGAGCTGACGTCAGGATCCTGAATGGGACACTCGAGCATAGACTCGTCGCCTGGCGGCACACACACATTCCTCTTCTTGAACAGCTGGAGTTAAGGAATGAAGACTTATCATCATGTTCCAACATCAAAGGAATACTTCTTGCAAATATGCAAATGATGTTAACAATGAACACTAGAAGCGGCCATGGAAATAAGATAAGAGAATAAGCTAAACAGTCGACTTTAGGTTTCATCATTGGAAATTCTTAAGGGTATAAAAACACACTGATGTATCATTGCGCATCAATCTAAAAGCGCAGACTCAACTGCAATGATTTTAGAATGCCGTAATTGATTATGATTGGTTTTAAAATATACTCAACTATGAGCTCATTTTTGCATTTGGACGTGTATAATACGTATACAGCATTTTTCCAATACATTTTTACAAATTTAACTTCCAGGCAAACCGGTCCTAGATGTTGTGTGCAGTACGTTAAAGGACCTACCTGTTCTTCTCTCTTCTGTTTCCGCAGCTGGATCCCCTCTTCCTCCCTCCGTCTCCTCATCTCCTGCGGGTTCAGGGCCTTGTTCTTGTAGCTTTTCATTCGATAGTTCTCTTTTCCTGGGCTCGCCATTCTGTCGTCTGTGATGACAAAGAAAAAGGCAATCATGATATATTTGACTTGCTGGTTCCCTTTTTCACACTTTGCTTTCAGATAACCTCCAACTGGAAACCGAAAATGTCTAAATCCCCAAACCTTTTTGAAATTTCACTACAACTTTCGTACAGTGAATTGTCATTTCAAAACATAGCCGAATGTTGCCTAAGAGATTGTTGAGATCCACTACAGAGATAAATAACTATTCAGGCCAGAACGTCCAGGGCTTCTAAGCATACAATTCAGAACTAAAAACTTACAGTAAAAAAAGCTTATCTAGTCCTACAATAGATAAGGTGTTATATAATCTCTTTCTTAAAGGGCCCATGCCAGGAAAAACCTGAATTACCTTCTTCTTTTTGAAGTAAAAGCTTGATGCACTTTGTAAACAGTGTTTCAAAGCATATATAACATTCTCTCCACAGTCCACTAAGTGCATCTTTGGAACCCAAGCTGGTCCATTTCAATTTTTTATGATTAGGAATGCATCAATACAAATACTAGTATCAGGTATTCATCCGATACCGTGCTGATTACGCATACTCGTAAAAAAATTCACCAATACCAACATCTGATCCTACCTGATACCATGTGACATAAGCTTGGTGTATGCTGTCACACAAATAAACCAACGACTCAAGCAGGCAGTGAAAGAGAATGTGCTGCACAAAAAAGTGTTGCTGAAACCATGGGGGTCGGATACAAAATCGTTGTTTGCTTTACACATTCCTCCTTGGTATATCCCCACCAGGCATTTACTTTGCAATATTCTTTGGCCCACTTTAAAGCACACACAAGCACAACAACAGTTTCTGCTCTGTACTAGACCTGGGCGATATCTAAAAATAATTAGCACAATATTTTCCAGTTAAAAAATCATGATTATCAATAATATCGCCACCCCCCACACAGCAGAAATAGTAGGGAGTTCACTCTACTGGAGCTTTTAAAGGTCCCTTTATTACTCTATGTTTTAAGAGTAAAAGTAAAAAAACGTTTTATTTATATTATTTTATAAACTTTTTCTGAGAACACCGGCTGTAAATGAGGATCAGGGGAACTTTATCTGCAGGTTAGGGTTAGCTGTGCTACGCTAATTCTCAGCTATTTTAACTTGTCTTTTACTGCAGCGAGTCACTTTGAGGCAAGCTGAAGTTCCAAAGCACGGCAGCATTCATTTTCGATTCCATTCCTGTATAGTAAACCAAGGGGAATCTGTGTGGTAAAGCTAACATTACAGTGAGTAGCACACTTCTTAAATGTGAACCCCAGTTTCCCAACATATTTGACAGACTGCCTCAAGGTAAATTAGTCCTCTCAAATTCTTTCTCAGATCTTTCATGAAAATGACAACTATCACCTTTTACACATCGCCATTGGATTACTTTTCCATTAACAACAATATCCGATTACATCGCCCTATCACCCAGGCCTACTGTGGTGCAGCATGTTCTTTTTGAATGAAACAGCTTTATTGGAAAATGTTCGTAGGCAGAGCTGTCTGTACAGGCTGTGTTTCACATGCAGTGTGAGAACCCACTTTGTAGCTTGCAACTGGACAGAACATATTCGTATAGCATGAGCATAAAAAAGTAGCTACTTGTTCGTACACAATGGTCTATTCATACCAAGACAAAGACAATTTTTCTTAAATAGCACAGTGCATGCCTGGCTTTAGAGGACATTCAACTACAGCTCAACCATCCAATTAAAAGACTCCAACAAGACATAAAACACGAACCGTGAGCTCCTCAGATGCATTAGTTTCAGAGACTGTGCTGCAGAGTAACTGAGAGACAGATGAGGAGCACAGGAACACAAAACTATGAAACATACTTCATTTACAGCCATTAACAACGCTACTCAACCCATAGTAACTTAACAGAGCTAGCTGACGCATGTCATTTTAACTCAGCTATAAAATAACAACTGTTAAAGTACATGGCACTACTTTACACTGACAACTACTTAATTCTAAGTAGGCTACTCATTATGGTTTCAGTATCAGCAAGTACCAATAAACATGTACTCATATGGTCTAAAAAAAATGGTATTGATACATTCCTAGTCCTGATATCCAACACATTTACATAGAGACATCTATTCAGCCCTACTCATTAAATGTTGAAGTTATAGGGAGGGTTTCAGCGCAGACTGCTTTTGAACAAAGCACAATACAGGTGGCCAATCAGAACAGAGGTCATTTACATATATCAGTCTACATAAAAATGAATAACTGTGGTCGGTATAAATAAGTGTTTTGGGTACATAAATCCACCAAACAACAAAAATGTTATATACCAGCCCTTTAAGAAATGAGTGAAGCATAAAGTCAGTACTTCATAAAATGTGCCTGAACAAATGAGGCTTTAAGATATTTACATGTAAGCTGTTACACATTATTATCATCAGCATGCTATTTAAATATTTGTGATTTATATCAGATGGCCATTCAGAGGAATGCAGAGCAACACCAGAAAACACCTGTGAAACATCTGGAACCTGATTTCATCTTACCCTACACACTTTTCATATGTTAAATGAATGCACTTCCCATCTACAGATTACAAAGTCGACAAAAACACCTTTTGCTGTTGACTACACCATATCAGTGCTGAAGCCACAGGTATAATTTAGCACTCGTCCCGCTCTAACACATCTGACTTAGCAAACAACATGCTTGAAAAGGCTGGAAACCCCTAACCTAATAGTGCTGTGGCCTGGAACTGTGCAAAACTCCATGTAATAAGGTCTTATTATTCAAATTGTGCCCTGGAGGGCCACAACACCGCAGTATTTGTTTGCTCTTGATGCCCTTTCACAAATGGACTGATCATCAGCTGATGAGTTGTACACTGCACAACACACAGCTGAAATTCTAGTGGACTTGATCTGAACAAGGCAAAAGCTCCAAACACACCGCCAGACAACTCACTAATGTTTAATGAAGTAGTTAAGACATAAACAAAAACATTCAGAAAGGTTTTATGAGAAATGCCGCACTGTAGAAAATCTTGCTGACAAGTGGTGGTGATAGGAACCAGAGGTCACAATGTCTACAATGCAAATATTGTCATTTTATCACTACTCCTAAACCTAAATGCATCTTCCAATTTTTTATGTAATGTTGAAAATGGTACATGTGGTACATCTGAAAAAGTATCTTTCTCTGGAGACTATTTTGCCTTACAACACCTTCACCATGAATGTGGCCAAAGCCTCTTCTCATAACTACCGTAAAACAATATCTCAGGCATCAGGCACGATATTAATAACCATTTCATGCAATAACTTTCCGTAAGTGAGCTTTTAGAGGCATTAAACTCTTCAGACATCTGGTTCCTATCACCACCACTGTGAACAACACTGACTCGATAAGTTTCTCTAGAAGGAGCATTTCACGTATCGCTCTAAATCCCTTTGTTTACGCTTTAACAACTTATTTAAAATATGCTTCAGGCCAAAACCTTGTCTCAAAACTATCACAAAACAGTGTCTCAGGCAACATGCATGAGCAACAACAGTAAGCATTACATGGAATGGTTATGAAAACACTGCCTGATGTCTGAGAAATTGTTTTACAGTAGTTCTGTGATAAAGTTTTGATTTAAAACTTACTTTAATCAATTTATTTTATTTATGGTGGAGGGATGCATAAAGGGTGCTCTAAGGCAAAACAGCACTCATTGAAAACTTTTTTTTTTCAGATTGACCACTATTTTACCATAATAAACATTACGTACAAAAACTCAGAAGACACGTGTAGGTTCACTAGTGGTCTTGGACAGTAAATAAAATGACTATATTTGCACTGTAGACATCAGGACTCCTGGTTCCTATCATTTCCACTGTAAAGAAATGCATAAGTTTTTCTGCAAATGAACCATTTCCTATCATACCAGTCTGAATGACATTCTTTATATCAAAACCATTTAATTATATAGAAATTTTGAAAAATACGTGGAATTCTCCTTTAAACCGTTCAGACGTCTGGCTTCTGTCGCCGCAGCTGCGGAAAATTTTGACTCGAGCATTTCACAGCAAACCACTCTGATAGACTTTTCCTACATTTTAACGACTACATTGTTAAGAAATGTTAATAAATGAGTGACACTCTCCTCTAAGAATGAGCCTAGTATTCCAAGGCTTGCTGGGTGGCTTACATATCAAGAATCAGTAGAATCGGTTTCCCAGACATAGATTAAACCTGTTCAACAACAATACTGCTCAATCAAAAGGTTTAAGCTTAGGCTGGATCTGATAATCGGAACACAAGGGTCTAATATCCCCCAGAAATGGTGAAACCCAGCTAGCTAGCCACCAGCTGGCTGCTTAGTAGGTGGGGCAACCGAGCTCCACAAACGGCCCCCGACTCCGAGGTCCGCGGGTAAGCGGGGCAGGTGAACAGGGCACCGGAGAGCAGGTGTTGACGGTATGCGTGTTAAAGTCACAATAAAGTGTTAAATGTGTCTGGTTTTCTCTGGTTTCGTAACCCAAATGTGCCCACTTTGCTCGCTACGTCACTTCATCTCTCCTCTCCATTCACAGCGGGAATAAAAATCTAAATCACTCACTCACTGACCCCAAAGCAACCGTAAACATCCGTCAAGTCTCACCCCGTTCACTTCAAGCCAGCACTTGAGCGTGTTTTGTTGCTTTTTTCGTGTTTTATTTGTTGTTTTTCCTCTCGCCTCCTTCCCGTTTCGCTCCGGCTGAGGAGGGCAATATGGCGTCCACAGGTTACGGACGGGCAGCGCGTCACTTCCTGCGCTACTTCCGCTCTCGCCGCGGCGAGTCAGGAATGAAAAACGAAAATAAGAAAGAGTTTTGTTTCGTAAAACAACAGTAACTAAAAGACTCTCCCTTCCAAATATAACCAGGTACGTTTTTGTATCTTTCAGATATGCAGGAGGCTTTTCGCATATTAATGCAGGTGCTCTTTCACTCAGCTTAAGCCGTGTTCACTGAAAGCTGTAAACAGATTATCAAACCCTGAAAGTGCTCGATTTGATTAGTCTGTCTTGTTTTAGCAGTAAACGTAAAAGAAACATGTTTGTGGCATTCAGCATTGGGTCCACATGTGTAAGTATTTATTGGGTTGTTTATAGCGTTGAGGAGCTGAAATGCTTTGTACTCATATTGAGTGTTATCCTCAACACAAAGCGTCTGAATTCAGGGGTTCTGTTTCTGGATCAGCGGATTTGGACCTGTAAAGCGGTCCAAATCCGCTGATTTACAGCGGATTTGGACCTGTAAAGGAGGGAGCTACGGCCTCCACGATCAGTATTATCACGATACTGGAGACACGACACGACACGATACGATTCTATTCAGATATTTAAGGAATTGCGATGTGCTGAGGATTGTAATGATATTCGCAGTGTATTGTTTTATTAGTTTTGACTGTAAATTACATTCGGTAAATATTAGCTCATGGTAAATATACCCTGGCTGGTTAAAATCTTATATCTAAAAGTCTATACGGAGGTAATCGGAGCTAAACAGATAAAAATGTGAATTAAATGTTTTTCTAGTCTGTCACACAGATTTTTTTCTTTTAATTTTTGAAAGAAGAAAAATGTATTTAAAATGATGAAAATTTACCAGTTTATTTTTTCAGTTTTTATGCAGTGCTGATTGGTTGGCCAGCTGATGGGTTCACACTCATTAACGTCATGAATGTACACAAGGCCCTATATATAGAATTAAAAGGCACTTAAAATATGACAGCAGTGTTGAGATATTTTAAACTGTTCTGTGTTAAGAAAACAAGTGCATTTGTCTGTACCAAAAGTTTTAAACATTTGCAAATAATAATGTTGCTCGAAAGCTCCATATGAACTCATTAATTTGGGACTTTCTCCAGAGCGCCCTCTAGCATCCAACTGACTCACAAGGCATTTTAGGCGGCAGTTCTCCTGTTGCTACCAGGCTCCAAGATTTTGCCTTCTAAAGTCTGGAATTGAGCTGCATAGGCACGAGAGGGCCATTCTATTCCAGTCATTTCAGGCTGTATTCAGTCCAAAAATAATGCCACAACTTAGCCCTCATGTGTCAAACACAAGGCCCTCTGGCCAAGTCAGGCCCTTGGTACAATCAGCCCACTAAATTATTTTAATTTTCTATTAATATTGGCCCATTTCACCATGAGCTGCACTACAGTTCCCAGCATGCACTGCAGCATAAAGTGTGCTCCCACCCGCTCCCCAGCAACGATTTATAGGAACCCACCAAAAAGAAAAAGATGCCAGGTGTCTTGTTCAAGCGTATAGGCTGTTTTAAAAAAACGCTTGGTGACATTTAAAGAGTTTTAGCCCATATCTGTAGCTAATGCAGTTTTATGTATATTTTTATTGAAAATTATTTTTCAATTGTTCAAGAATTCAGTGCCTATTTTTTGCTGTCATAGTTTTTTTGAACAAACAATGCCCAGTTGGGGTCATGGCAAAATGTTAAGTAAAAATAAAATAAAAACACAGCAGGCCCATGAGTTGTTTTTTTTTTAATTTTTTAACGTGGCCCTTTTAGTGGTTGAGTTTGACACCCCTGCCTTAGCCGTTTTAAATTACTGTATGAACCTGTGCTCTTCTAGAGAGATTGGACTGTCTGTCATTTTATCCACAGGCTTGACTATCACTTTATATATTCAGAATAAACATTTATTCCTGACAGTATCAAAATGACAAAAAAAAAGTTTTTGTTGAAAATAAAAACTTGAGAGTTGAAAATAGCAGGATAAGTGGGTCCGGTTCCTATATACTATCAGAAGTCGCTATCCAGCCCGCCACTGTCACACATGCATAGAGAGTATTACTTTTACCAGCACCAGCCAGCAATACCTGCATGTGTGTAAACATTTTATGGCAGATAAAAATAGTAGTTGAGCCCTAACAAAACAGCCATATTCTTCAGTAGTAATTACATGTGTATTTTGCACTTTTACCTGCTCAGTGCTATTCTACATGTTTATCAGTGAAAACACAGAGCTTTAAGGTGTGACTATCTACACATACCAGAAAGAAACAGCTCCATCTTGTGGATTAAGAAAGAAATGCTTTATGAAATCCTATTAAAAAGGATCACCAGTCTTCTCCACTAAGACCCGGTGCGGATGCTGGTTCTCATTCCAGCCAAGCAGGAGCACATGTCATATGTGATGAATTCCTCAGCCCTTTGTTTTTTTTTAAACCTGGAAATGCACAACAAAGTTCTAGGATCCTGAAAAAACAACAACATTGCAAAACAAAGTTGTAACAATCAAAATGAAGAATAAGTATTCAAAGTTCTGCACTATTTTTAGGTCACTATTCAAATGGAAGCTAGTTTGTGAAATTGACCATGTTAAGGCCATTTTCTGAAAAGGTCTTATTCCTTCTGTTGAAACACATGTTCAGATGACTCAGTTGGATTTAATCTACTCATCAGAGGCTTTTGCACAAACTGAAGATATATGTGACAAGAGATGTGAATGTCCTTAATAACGCATCCTGTACATTTTTTTTGTCTTTCCCAATTGGTGTAACAGTAGCTGTATTCATACTTTTATCCTTTGGCTGTATATTTTTGACTGTATGTATTCATATGCGTCTGTATTTAAAAAGAAGCAGGTAATCTCTATCATTTTTCATACTTGATATTTGTCAAAAATGAATAAAAAAATTGTAAAGTTATAAAATACTGCTAACACTGTTGATGCTATTACTGTATTATCTTCCATCTATTTTTTCTCCCATCTCTAGTAAGGTGTGTAGCAATTGTGATTCTGCTGTCTTAATTTGAGGTGCTTTGTGAATACCACCCATTGAGTCCACCTGCTTCTGTTTATTCCTTTCTCTTTTGACAGGAGGTGTCCTGCCATGCCTGTGTGCGACATCTGCTGTGAAGAGCTCACGTCCGAATCGGACATGAGAACTCATCTCCTCCTGAGCCACCTGGAAAATGTGATGAGCTGTCCATTTTGTTCGCTGTCAGGTGTCTCCTATGATGAGCTGAACTTCCACATAGGCACAGCACACCAAGAGAAAGAGATGGACTTCCAGGACACACCTGCTGCGGACAACAGTGCTACAGAAAGTGGGCAAAGAAGCTCAGCGGACTGTATTCAAATTCAGACAGATCCAAGCCCCTTTAGAACTGATGCCCTTACAGTAACATGGGAGAATTCATCAGCTGTTTGTAGCTCAGGGCTAACTCCAGCTTCCCCTCAGACTTCTAGTCATCACATGTTCTGTCAGGATAATGGGACAGCTGCTCCCAGTGCAGGAATTGCTCTTACTCAGGGTCAGGGAGCCACATCCAGCATCAAATCTTCACCCCCCACTGCAGCCACACCAAACAGAATTAAAAAACTGGTTGGACCTCCACCAGCACCCAGCAAAAACACTGAAAAGGAAGACACAGTAGAGCATCGCAAATCAAAACAGAAGCGCTTGTCCTCCCCCAATAAAGGTTCTCACATAACAGATCGGTGTTGCAAACAGATATCTTGGATGTTTGAACTTTCATCATAATATATGTCATCTATATATCTTCCAGAGAAGCTGTTTTCCTGTCCCTTCTGTAGTCTGGTCTGCGGCGACTGTTTTATTCTTCAGGAACACGTGGAGCTGCATCTCCAAGACCAGGACGCATCTGAAGGTATCGGCCTTCATTTCATGTAGCTAATAGGGTTGTGCACAGGTACTCAAGTACTGTTTCAGGTGCCAGTATTCATTCAGTATACTGAAATCACTATTCACATATTTGTTATGCTCCAACAGTCAGGAATAAAAATATATGGCAAACAATTCAGTGAATCACTAAGCTTTAATAGGGTTGTAAAGCTTAAAGTTTTAGTGTGGCACTGCAGCAACCCAACAATCAGTCAGGCCCCCCCAAGACCCCCACTGAGATTGTTACATTAATGTTGCATTAAAATGTGAGTCCTTCAGAGTGGTTTAGTATGAAATGCTCTATTCTAGAGAAACTTCTGTGATTATGAGAAGCAGACATCTGTTTGGTTACGTTCAAGAATTCCCCCAGTATTTTCCAAAAGTTCAGAAAAAAATCTTGTGCATTAAAGGCAAAGCCAAAAATCACAACTGAATGATCATGATTTTTGACCCTTCAGATGGTACTACACTAACCCACCTGTTGTGTTGTGGGTCCTATAGTGTATTACTAAGTGTTCATGCATTTTTACATTCCTTCTGAGTATATTTATTGTGCATTTGTGTTGCTTTATTTTTTAGCAACTATTCCTGAAGCAGGGACATCATCACAAGTGTGTTCTTCAGCAAGAAATGAATCAGGTGAGTAAAAAAAAAACATTATATATACAAAAAACACATTGACACATGATTGATGATAATGCAGAAGTGCATCATATGGCTTGAGTCAAATTCCATCTATCAGGTGTGAACAATGTGCAGGTTAACTTGAGTCCTTGATGTGAAATTGGCAGGTTTACAGCTGTATGAATGTCCACTGTGTTCTGTGGCCTGTGTGGATAACAGCTCACTGCAGGAGCATGTGGAGCTGCATCTGGACTACGGTACAGCCGCTGCTGCAGGTATACGCAAGCACATGCAAACAAGCATACTGCCAATGCTAGCACATTACTGGACACAGTACTTACTTGTTTAAGCTATTTGCATGGTATTGCATATAATTTGAGTGCTGGATGGGAGGCAAAAAGCTGATAGATGAATAGCAACTTTATTAAACATGATGGAAATTGCAGCAGCAATATAAAACTATACAAATCACAAACATAGAGGAAGAGGGTTGGTTGTAACGTTTTCCACAATGATTCTCTTATCTCACAGACTAACAAGTTAGAAGTAATACAAACTGAGCAAATCATTACGTAGTTATTTCATTAGTATGATGAGATATTAGGTTTTGAATGTTGTGCATTTGTGGCAACCACCCCATAGTTTGCAATTATTATATGTTGAACCTATAATAAACGAATATCAGTGTTTATCGCTCATTTAAGAGCAAGAATATTTAAAGAACATTTCATTTAAATATAATTGCAGTTTAACCGATCAAATATATAGATGTATTCAAGATACAGAGAAATTATAGAAAACTCACTAAAATGCACATTTTTGCATCAAAAACACGTTGAAGTTCACTGAAACTGCCCTAAAAGTGAGTCTAATGGCAGAATCCCCACAATGGCTACTAAGCTAAAAGGCATGCTAATGACCTTCATACACAAGGAAAAGGCACAAACAAAGCATTAATAGTATGCTTCTCTTGGCCCTCTTTTTTAATGGCTGAGTTGATTACAGGGTGCATTCCCATCAGAGTGTGTGAGAGGTGTAGAGTTGGGGTGGAGTTCTCAGTCACTCTGAAATCACTCTGATAGCACTCCATCCCATTTTCTGGCTTGTGATTGGGCCATCGTTTCAAGTAGAGCTCTGCGCAGGAACAATTTTTTTTAGTCCATAGTTACACTTATGTGTTGCCCCGCTCCCTCCCGTGCTGGGTTGGTTATTCGACCGCTCACGCTCTTGACACTAAATATTTGACCCCTGTCGCAAGATATCGCAGACCTCTAGTTTCAAGCCTATGCCTACTAAAAAAAGTCTGCGTTGCACAGAATGTTTAGCTAGTTTTTCATTTAATAACAGCCATAAATAATATAATTTATGAATTGGAGAGTGTAATGTCTTGTCCATACAGTCAAGACGTAAACTAAATATCATAAGAATGAATCATATGGAGCAGACATAGAGCATGTTTTGTCTGGTATGTGAGCGAGGGGCGATCAAGAACAGGAAATAGGCCTAGAGCAGAGGTATAGCAGAGTGATTACAGAATGCAGAAATGTCCTCCACTCCACTCACATACTCTGATTTACATCCCCCTCATTAACAATATAAAACATCTGAATGCAGAATTTTACTTTGTGGTATGAAAAACTAAATCTCACCTCAGATTAAATCTCTTGCAGGTACAGAGTTGGTAAGGAGATATTTGTCCTCAAAGCATGACATTTCAGTATAAGTAATTCTAAGTACCTCCTCCTGGTGTTCCAGATAATAGATAATGTGACATCCAACCCTAACCCTTCTCTATTAGGAGAAGCTATAAAAGCACAAAGAATTTTTAAGACAATAACAAGAGACGGTGCTAGAGGTTTACAGATATACTGTACTGCAGTACTATGGGGGGAAAAAAACCTTTAGTGTGAATATATTATGGGTCACAAAACATTTGTCTGTTCTTGCTTTATATCTTGTAAAAGCTTCTGATGTAACATTGGCGTTACTGTTTTTGTTTGTTGGTTGGTTGGTTGGTTGGTTGGTTGTTTTCCAGGGGATTTATCTGAAGACATAAGGCTGGCCCGGCAGCTCCAAGAGGAAGAAGAGAAGAAGAGAAAGGAGGAAGAGGCCAAGAGGGAGAAAAAAGACTTCAAACAGTTGCAGGTCAGCTGCACAGCAGATAACATAAATAATGCTGCAGAACTATGCAGACTGGGTCCAGGTTTTACTAGTACATTGAGGTGAGGTATGTAGCATCCGTCACATGGCGGGGGATGTAGGCCTTTGCCATCTGCTGGTTGCGTTACAATATTCATAACCACTCATTTCACCATAGGTGAATTTTTGACGATTTAAATTCATACAAAAGAACACTTTTGGTTAGATATAGTAACATTCCTATGTATTTGTACCTTATGCTGGATTTATTGATTTGAACTTTCTTATTTCCTGGTATTTTTAAATGCTAATACTTTTGCATGTACTCAAGTAATCTGCTTTTTACTACATATTTATCAAGAAAATTTGGTGGCAGATTTACAAAGAGAGGTGCGGACGATTTAGCGGGATATGTATTAAGAACTTCCATGCAGATAAACACAGGCACAATTTTGCAATCAACATATAACCAGAGCAATTTAACCACATGTTTGGCTCATGGCCTTTTATGTATGAATGCCTGTTTCAAGTCAAAAAATGAGTTATTACTTGTTGACAAAGTATGTGATTATTTTGACATATTAAATAATTATTTTGAGAAAATAAAACTTAGTAATTTAACATAGTATGTGAGAAATTCCAGAAACTAGGGTAATTTTTGACATTTTGTTTTGAGAGGGAGCAGCTGAACTTCTGTGCTGAGTGCATTTGGAAACTGAAATCCCTGTTTAATTTCACTCCACGCACTCAGGTCGTCAGATCGTATTTTTATTGTTATCGCAACACGAATTTTTGCAATAAACACATCATTAACAGCTGCGCTGGGGTCGAAACTTCCTGTCCCACATGGGGCTGAGTAACTCAACTATTAGGCCAAATGGCCAATTATAAAGAAACACAGCTCATGCACACATGCACAGCTCTAACCTACTCCGTCCTGAACTACAAACCTGTAAAAATGCATCAAACATTAGGATTGTTTTTACAACTAGTAGTGTGTTTTAAGTGTGCAGAGCAGTAATGGCTACTGTCCCAACAAACACATTTGAGAAGTAAACAACAATAAATAGATAAATAGATTGTTTGTTCATTCATGTGTGCCTATTTAAACATAAATATTTTTATTTGTTTGTAGTCTTTATAGAAAAAGCTGTTGAGGTAACGCTAACTGTTTCTTGCGTGACATCCAGTCAGAGGCAGACTATTTTAATAAGAATTTATCTCGTCTCATATCACCATTGTGCATTTTGTGCATGTGCATTTTATATCAATATTATACAACCCTATAACAAACGTTAGTTCTTATGCTGATAGATGCTGGTCATACTAAGATGTTCCACAATTCTTTGAGGGAGTTCTATAAGGAACTCAGTACTTAAGTATTTTTTGATGTGGTACTGTTATACTCAAGTTGATTTTTGGAAAGATCATTTTATCTGTGTTATTATTTCACCAAAGAAGCCATACTTTTACGGAAATATGGGTTTAGGCTACTCATCACACCTGTGGTAGATAAATATAACTTGAATTGGGGCCATGTGCTATGTTCTGCTGCATTTGTAGCATACTGTTGATTTCCACAGGCAGTACTTTCTTTGTACTGAGAAAAGAACAAGCGCATTTAAACTAGAAGCCAGTTGCTGAAGTGCAGAGAAACACATTGAAATTATTGTAATCAATGACATTACAGATCTGGCAGAGAGCATTCAGGTTGACAAACGCTTCCTTTAATGTAAAATAACTAGTCTAAAGAATAGCTCTTCTCTGTTCTGACGCTGACCCCTGATTGACTCTTGATATGTGCAGAAGGTTTTTGGGATGGATAATAGCGGCGGGTACCGCAGGCAGATGGAGCGGAATATGGAGCGAGCTGTGAGCCGAGGTCAGATGGCCCCTGCTGAATTTCACCGGAAACGAGTAGAAATGATGGAATCTTTGGCCTCAGGAGTGGATGACAGCCGCACCAGAACCACTGGTCAGTATATTACAGAGTCCAGGACTGGCTTAAATAAAAAGTTGGTCAAAAATCTAATTTGTACAATGTCCCACTTGCCCTAAATGTCATCAATCAGCCAAAACATGCTTGTTCTCTGATGTTTGTTTCTTTAGTTTTGCACTGGAGCCATGAGGCTGATGTAGTTAATGCAGTTTGGCCAAAAATGTATACGGTCGTATGCAAATGTTTGATCACTCTCAGTCGAATTACATGTTTTGTAGATTTTCTAAGTGAAGATAAGTTAACACATCCTCTACAGTGAACAAACTTTAATATGACATTTTTTATGCTAATTTTAGTGCAATTTTTTATTTATTTGCTTTGAGTTTAACACATTGGAAAAACATAAAAGATGTGAAAAAAAATGTGAAACCCACATGTTAAATTTAGCAAATGTAGGGTGTATTAAATGTGTATGACTATGTTCTCTAAAATATCTGACAGTTTTGGTATATATGACATTATACTGTGTGTCTATGTATATATATTAAACCTATATTTTGAGTGCTCACATTCTCTGTCTGCTACATCTGTAGAATACCATTGATTTCCATGGACAATTATTTTCTTTTACTGAGAAAAGGCCAAATACACTTAAAGTAGAAGCCAATAGGCAGATGCTGAACAACATCTAGATAAGCCTATAGCGCGTACCCTATAGCCGCAGCAGTTTTTCTGGCTGAGCAAAAATAGTGCTAAAAGTTGCTTCATGCAATAATTTGTCTCATGTTTGCATATGTACACTCATGCTTACATTTGTCTATAAGTTTATTGAATATTACAATCCATGCTGACAGTAGCCAGTAGCTGTCAGTAGTCATTGGATCAGGCCCCGAAACTGTGGCAAAAACTATTACCCAAGGCGCTGAACACAACATTTCACATTTTGACCTCTAAAAACATGTTATTTTCCCCTTTTAACAAACCTGGTCAGACATGCATGTAACTGCATCAAATCAGATTTTGTTGGAATTCATTAACTGTGTGTGTGTTTTGCTTTGTGTCAGGTGGAGACTCTGAATTGGTTTTAGCACAGTTTGCCTAAATGGTCAGCTCTTCCAGAGTAATGAAATCAACACAATAAATATATCAGTCAAACATCTCTGAGATGCTGATCATTTTTAAAGCAAATTTCTTATCAATACCGAAATGATTTATAAGTAACTTCACAACAAAAGGTTCATTTGAGCATAAATGTGTGTGTTATGGCCCATCCCCTTTAATGTTCTTAATTTTGATTCTTGATGATGATTATAAATAATATTACCAAACCTTTGGCTGTAGTGCTTGTATAATGTGTTTTGCTATGTGGCAGGTGTTCTGGAGGCACTGTATGAGTTTTATCAGCGTGAGGCTCGTGATATTGCCCACGTGTGGTTGTGTGCTGAAACTGACCACTATTCCGCCTCAGACGGAGACAAGGGCTGGGGTTGCGGCTACAGAAACTTGCAAATGCTTCTGTCCGCGCTGAAGAGGATGGAGCAGTATACTGCACCAAACACACTACCAGGTACAAACATTCAAACACATTTTAATCACTGTTCTTAGGACAGTGTTCTGTTGTTCTTAGGACACACAGAGGGCAATAGAATACTGGAAAAAGTAAACAGTATGTGGATGCATCATTAATAAATTGCCTGGCTGTGTTTTTTCATGACTGCTTCTTCAATGCTGTTATGCATATCGCTTTTAGGTCAGTCTTCTAGAACAGCAAAACCATTTGTCATTCTGATTAGCAGAATATATAGTTAAAGGAGCAACAAGTGATATTAGGAAAAAGAGTAATTTGTCTTTGCACTTAAGTTTCTTTCATAATGTAGACTCAAATTACTTTGTAGACTTGTATGAGCTATTTCATCATCACAGGCCCATACATGGGTACTGCCATGTTTGGATCATGCGACAACAGCCAAACATATTCTCTGATTCAGTGCAGTTCCTGACAGGTGCGGTTTGCTACATATTAAATGGAAAAAATGATCAAGGAGGATCATCTCTTCTCTTTACAAGCAGAAACGACAGGGAGTCACCAAGTAAAATAAAAAAACAAAGGGAAAAAAAAGAGACCAGAATTAGGAAAGAACCAGAGCAACACTGGATGGCAGTAGAGACGTTCCATATCACCCATGCCGATAGGTGTCGGTATACAGTTTCAAGAACATTGCCATACTGATTGTTTCACAAAGTATAAAATCGCTTATTGCTCCTTTAAAAGCTTCTTTAACTTTCAAGACAAGTTTGTAGTTAAAAGGAAAATTATGTAAAAATGTGGTTGGTTGTTTTGTAATATTCTGTTGTGGCTGCAGCTATTAACTCCCTAAAACAGTGGCCTTTAGTAGGTGCTGAACGATACATTTTACACTAATAACTGAAGGGGCTTCTAAGCACTGCAGTCATCTAAGCATTCTCTTTGTTGTTGCAAAATAGTGAGTCTGATCTATAGTGGCATAGGCAGAAATCCATTTTTGGGTAGGCCTGTGAAAAAGCGGGTAGGCAAACTTGGTAGATACAATTTTTAAACATGTAATTTAAAAACATCAAGCTGTAGTCTATTCCTGACAGCCATGCGGGCATCACCCTACTTATTTCAGCACTTCCCTTCCACCATCATGGTGATACAAAACAATAGCAAACAACCAGAATACTTGTTCACATAAACACAGCTAATACTGCAGCTTACCTATAAATTATGCCACGGGCACATTTGCCAAATGAAGATGACTTAACTAAGTTGAAAAAAATACAGCTGAGAGGTTCAAAGACAAGGAAGAACAACACAGTTAACTTTAAAAGCCTAAAATTAATCAGCTAAAGCTTAGTGGCACAGCGGGAGGGGCCCAAAGAAGACAACGTTAGTTTCAGTGACTGAGAAACTAATAATGGCAGTCTTTTTTTTTTCGACTTGGGATGGATTAAAAATGACATACTCTACGAGATCGATTCTCACTTTTAAACATCCCCAGTTACATTTTGTAACAGTAACTGGAGCTTGAAAGCCAAACACGGACTGGCTTTAGGCACTGGTGGATAGCAGCAGTTGCCAAGCAGTGATTGGAAGGCTGAGAAAATAAGGCGAAGCTTGGCAGGGAGTGCAATGATTTGATTGGCCAGAATACAATCACAGCACTTACAAAAACAAATTAAATTCCATTGTCATTAAAAATTTGTGTTTAATAAATATTTTTCTCCAATTTTTTGGGTGGGCCTATCTATGGCTACGCCCCTGGTTCAGCTGACAAATGGCGTTGCATTAAAAAGATAAAAAAAAAGGTGTCAAGCTTCATGTGCCTCAGGGGAAGCATGTGCTGGGCATCACCCTTCACCCTCCAAGCATTGTGTGGTGGGGGAGATCTAAATAAACAAATGGAACTGGCCATGATTAAACTGGGGGTAAATTGGGTAAAAAAGCTGAAAAAAATTGCTTGTTTCAGATTCCAAAATTGTGCTCATGCCACAAGTGCCATTGTAAAATACCATGTGAACCCACACATAAATTAAATTCTGTATTAATGCAAGTTATTAAAAGGCAGTGTTTATGGGATAGTCTTTGACGTCTGACGTTAACAAACTACAGTGGCTGGTGGAAAAATTAGTTCCTTGCAATTAATATTAACAATGAATTTTGTTCTCATTTAATAAAAGCAAATAGGCCACATGTAATCTCTTCTTTTTATTTCTTCAATTTGTGTATCTCTGTTTCTTATTGTATGTTCATCTTTCTGTTTTAGACTCCGTTCCCAGCATTCCACGGGTGCAGTCTTTGATTGAGGCGGCCTGGACGGAGGGCATTGACCCTCAGGGGGCATCCCACTTCAACAGGAAACTGCAGGGAACCCGGGCCTGGATCGGAGCCACAGAAATCTACACCGTTCTCACTGCCCACAGAGTCAGGTGTGCAATTACATAATTCATTACTACGGATGTAACAGTACATATCTGTTTAGGTTTGATACAGTTCTTCAGTTTGATCTTTGATATCTGATATTTTTCTTGTACGTATCTGCAGATGCCAATACATAAACATTTATAAAATGTACAAATTCAGACTGAATCCACCTTAGCATTATGGAGAGGAATCGCATATACACTTTTCCTGTAAAAAAAAAAAAGTTACAGATGCAATAAAATGATGAATATAATGCAGATATTTTGGTGCAGTAGCCCAGTTTGCCGAAACATTCTGCTCTTCCACAGTACAGTAAATAAATAATGAAATATTGTTTTTCAGAATATCAGTCAGCATCTTGCTGATGCTGCTAATTTTTACAATTCCAATATCATTGCATGCCCCTCAAGAACATTCAGAATTAAAGCCCCTAATTCAAGTGCGAATGTGTGTATAGCATAAGACCCTCCCCTCTCCCTGCCCACTTTACTCTAGTTTTGATCACTGACTGTATTTTTTGTGAAAGACAGTAAACATTCATTTTTTTTTCTTTTTGTTGAATTTGTAACACCCTTGTTGATTCCATAGTTATGTACATGGTGTGTCTGTGAGCACTCCTGTTCATACACACTCACTCAGAATATTTAGCCAGAGGTAGCTAAAAGTCTGATAATACTGCGTTTAATAATTAGCATATCTTGCTATGATAGGCTAATTTGCTCAGCAAACAGGTGAGTGTATGTGTTTGTTTCAAGTTCAGTCTCTTTCTCAGGGCTCGTATTGTGGACTTCCATCAGCCCACTGGTCCAGGAAACACGCACCCTAGACTGTTTGAGTGGGTAAAAAATTACTTCTCTCTGCACTCTAGCAGGGGCTCTAGACTACCACCCAGAGTGGTGAAGACCAATCTACCACCCATCTACCTCCAACACCAAGGTACAGTAGCAAGGGAGATTTAAAAGAGTAGTTTTGGGAAAAAAAAGATCTATACAATTACAAAAAATAATGTATACAATTACACAGTATACATAAAACATAATTTGAGGCAAGCGAGTAATGATTTTTAGCACCGTGCTAATTAGTGTTTGTAAGCTTCCATGATTTACACTACATCCTTTTATGTGGTTGCACTACACTTGTTTCCATTGTTGTGCTACATCCATTTCTGTGGTTATGCTACATCCATTGTGTACAAATTATTCCACTAGGTTACACTAGGTGTAATGAGAAGACACACCCCATTACTGACTCAGTGCTAAAACAGTGAAGATGAATATACTAGAAATGTGTTTCAACATAAACCAAATCCAACTTCATAGTGTACTCCTATTTCTGAAACCAAAACTACGCCCTTGCACACAGGCCACAGTCGAACCATCGTGGGCATGGAGGAGAGGAAGAACGGGAATGTGTGTGTACTGCTGTTGGATCCAGGCTGTTCTTCAGGAGATATGAAGAAGCTGCTGAACTCAAACACCGCTGCAGCTTTTATTAGCCGCATGCGCAAATTCCCTGGCCACCTCAAACACACACAGTACCAGGTGGTGGTGGTGGAGGGGGTGTTAACTCCAGAGGAGAAACAGGTAAAACAGTGATTTTTTTATCTTAGCACACATTACTTTGGCAGTGACATATATATACGTATGTGTGTGTGTGTGTGTGTGTATATGTATGTATGTATGTGTATGTGTGTGTGTGTGTGTGTGTGTGTGTGTGTGTGTGTGTGTGTATATATATATATATATATATATATATATATATATATATATATATATATATATATATATATATATATATATATAAAATCCCATCCTATTATAATTTCTACAAATATTTTTACATTTATTCAGGCTTCAACTTGCACTTCAAATTACACTTTTGGGGGCTCTTCAAAACGTGTCCAGATTTAGTTTGTTACGATGTACAGATATGCCCATACAAATTATAATGTGGTATGTTGTCAGGTGAAGTTTTTTAGGGTGTGGAGTGGTCCAAACTTTGGCACCACTTTCAGGTTTTTAGCATTTTTAATAATGGCATGCATGGCTACCTATAGATATGATGTTCAGCTTGCTGCATGCACATACACTATATGACCAAAAGTATGGTCAGTTTGTGGAATTGCCGCCCTGCTAGATCTGCCCTGTAAGTGCTGTTATTAAGAAACGGAAGCATCTAGGAGCAACAGCAGCGCACAGCACATAAAAACATGGAAAGGCTTCGCAGAAGAATGAAGGCTATTATGGCTGCAAAGATGATGCCTATAGCCTTTAGCCAATGATCAAACAAGACACACTAAGCCTAGTGAAGTGTTAATGTTTACATCTGGGGAGCATGCGCTTATTGAACATTAAAAAACGAAACATATAGGTAATATTCTGTTAATACACAGGCATAGTCCCTAATAATTGGTCAGTGTTGCACAACGAAAGCTTTTATGATTGTTTTAAAATGATCATCTCGTATTCTTTTGCTTTATGAATATGTCCGATAACAAATTGTTGCCTTAAAGTCTCGCACAGTATCCGACCCCCCTCCAAGTCAGCAGTCAGCCAAGCGCCCACCTTGATTAGCCAAGAAAGAATCCGCCTCCCCTGCCTCACACACACACACACACACACACACACACACACACACACACACACACACACACACCTGCACTGCTCAAACTAAACTGCTTTCACAAACTCAATTATGATCATACATATATAAAAGTGGAATAATGATACATATAATAAATGTAAGTAAATGCAGTTCCCAGAGTATACTGTTCCTTTTTGGGGGACCCCTGCTACAAGATCTGTGCGCTCTTCTACACACTGACTGTGAACATACACCATTTCCCCAATATAAATTATTTATTTTCACTTGTAAAATCAACAAAACATGTCATTTGACCAGGGGTGCCCAAACCTTTGCATACAACCATATAGTGTTACTGTAATCGTGTTATTGGTTATTTGAATCATCAGTTGATGAATGTGAAGTCTTTGCTGTCTGTGGTCAGGGTCAAAGTCCAGCACACAATACACACACACACACACATCTCACATTAAGGTGAGTATAAGATAAATAAGGGTCCTCAGAGGAGGGTACATGCACCGCTAACTACACTAGTGCCTGTACATTGGTGTGCATGTAAATATAATTATAAATGTAAGTGTTAAACTATTGCTGGTTACCATCTGAATTAAATTACACTGCTTGACTTGTTCACCACAGTAGTGAGATTTTGGTGCTTTTGTTTATCTTTTTCAGAACCGTATTCTTCACTCCAGGACATTACGTGCTGAGAGAATTCCCTGATGTTTCCCTTTGGAGATTTGGTTTGTTTCATCAGCACATGATATTTGAACGTGCTGTGATTTCCTCTGATTTGGACAGAGTGGTTTTTATGTGTATTTGTGATTTTTTTTTTATTTATTTATTTATTTCTTTGCAAAGATAATAAATAACATTTTTACTTTATGGTCTCATGCTTTTTTAAACAGTTAATTGCAGTTCTGCAGTGGCTGATAAGACCCAATGCACAGTACAATAAAAGACTTTTCCAAACTCTTAAATGCGCAGCAAATTCAGAAAACACTGGTGTAGTCATTTTAGTGAAATTGTATTCTGACTTTGCAGCGCATTTATGAATTTGTAGCGCATATTATTATTTTGCAGAGCATTTATAGAATACAGTGTGTATGTTGTCATTTTGACAAAGGTGTTTTCTGCGTTTGCAGCTTGCTTTTTATTTTGCAGTGGGTCGGGTGTTGTCGGCCACCATACTTTAATGCGCAAAAAATAAAAGTTCTTATCTCTTTAAATTGTGCTGATATAATCCTGGATCAATTAATAAGGTGCTTTTCTCCTTCGTGCTCAGTTTCTTTCACTAGAAACACAATGATCAGACTGGAGCTGTGGTCAGTATGATGGGTGATAGTTTGGGATGGGAAATGAATTGTTTTCATACACTGTTGCCCATCTCAGATAGACAAATGTACAGTTTCAATCAAAACACACTTACAAGTGGAGCTTGTACTTGCCAAATTACAGCTTCTCAAAAACGCATAAAGAGATTTATCCTACTTTTGACTCGATTTATTCATCATTAAGCTTATTTTGGGCACCTCATAAACTGACACAAAAAAATTGAGTCAACACTAAGTACTTCCTACTGGTTATCCATCCATACAGTCAGCCATTGGCACCCTTGGTAAACATAAAAAATGTTTTTGGTTAATTATCTTAATCTCACATGAAAACATAAGGAGACTCACTTATCAAAAAACAATATTTTTAACAAAACTACATGTCACAATTATTGGCACCCCTAGAAATCCGTATGAAGAAAATGTAACAAGCCCGTCATGCTATGGATCATTCTCCATTCGGAGTTGGATACATTCTTTAAAAAATCCATTTTGTTCATCCCATCCCATAATCTTAATCTGTCCATTAACATCTCCTATTATCAAATATGTAAAAGGAGAGCTTAATTCCAAACATTTTTTACAGTTGCTGGTGTTACATGAATATGGTCTAACACCTGTGACATTTTGGATAAAATTGAGCCTGTAAATTGGCTGACTCATTAGTGGTCGGGTGACCTAGTGCAACTGTTTAAAATCAGTAGTAAAAATGATTTATGCCAATATTTTGACAAAATTTTGATTACACGCCATTAACGCACTCTGGGCATGCTTGCCCAACTTGCCCTGGAACTTTAAAAGCCAGGTAAACTGTTCAGACTCTTTTCCTGCTTGATGTGAAATGCTGACACCCCAGATCAGTATGAATTCTGACATGCTTAAATGTAAGTAGCTGCCACTGACTCACAAACCCAGTTGTGAAAGGAGATTAAACTGATAATGTGGTAAACAACCAAGCTAGCATGTAGCTGAGATAAGGAGGTTGTTTGGAAGTAGCAAGTGATAAAAAAGACAACTAATCTGATATGCCTGATCTGGGTAATGAAGACCTTCAGGAATAGCTGAATATTAGAGCCAGGTGTGCTGGATCTGAATTCTCCAGTGTGGTTGCTCTCCAGGACCAGGATTGAGCCCCTGGTGTAATGTATGTCTAAGTGTGTGTGGTGTGTAGAGTGTGTGCCTTTGTGTGTAGTTTGCATAGTGTGTATGCTTGGCTTATTATCCTTGTACCCATGTGCCCTCAGAATAACATGACAGTTTTGCACAAGTGACGACATTAAAACAGAAATCAATAGAAACCAATGGAAGTCCTCACATGTAATGTAAGACAAACGTGTGAGAGTGTGTAGTGTATAGTGGGTGGATGTTAAATAGCTTTTTCCACAGTCTTAAACTGCAGTAGCATCGGTCATCAGGAAAAGCTGGATGAGAAGCACTGAGCTGAGATCATAAATCGAGAATAATGGCAGGTAAGAGCAACTGAAACATTTTAAACAGAGTTTTTCCATTTTAAAAGCAGTATATTTTGACAAAATTTTGATTACACGCCATTAGCGCACATAACACCAGTGACACATTGAAGTTATGTGCTGCCTGATCAGCAAAATTAATTAATATAATAAATTATAATAATAAATTAATGAAATATAGTGAGCAAGTGTGGACTTGCCTTCTCATACCTTGAAATGATGAGCCTTGACCCAAGGAAGCAGATAGAGTTGAAAATACTAAGTAAAAATGTAATATAAGAGTCCTGATAACACCAGTGACCAAAATCTCTGTGACAAATGGATTTTAAAAATAAAATGCATCATTTTTAAATGTGGTATAACATCATTGATACAAAAAGTAAACATAAATCTGTTTTATACAAATTGCTAAGTTAAACCTCATAAAAATATTGTTTTATACTAAATAGTAAAAATTGTTTTTGTGATGAGCTGTCTTACATATGCAGAGCAACTATGAAACATAATAAAAAAAAAGAAAGTCACAGAAATCATAAGGGAAAAGTATTATTTAATCTTAGGTTAACAGTGTATTGACTTTTGGAGCTGTGGCTAATATTTTAAGCATCTTTTTAAGCCCTGCAACCTTTATGACATGGTTTTCCCACTCCAAATGGAGAATGACATGTTATTGGGAGTGGGCTTTACACATACAACAAATATCAATGCTATGTCATAATTAATTCCACCTTTATTAGAGAAGTAAAAATGTTTTCCATTACATGTCAGCTGTTATCTTTTTGAAAACTCCTTATATCGAACACTTTTGCAAATGAACGTACAGCATTTTTGGAATTAATTTTTTCTATAACTACCCCTGCCTTTAGTGCTTTGTGCAGACTTTCTATGCCAACATAACAGCATTAAGTCTTCTCCAGTGATGCACAACGGGTTTGAAGATTGCAGAGCAAAGAATCTGTAACTTCTCCTCAATGCAGAATCTTTCCTGATCCTCTAGGGTCCTGGGTCTTCTCTTTCGGAATTTCTTCTTTTAGCACTCCTCACAGGTTTTGGGTTTAGTTAGGCTTACGTCAGGAGACTACAGTGGCCATGTCTAAAGCTTGATATTGTGGTCATTGTATGGATTTAGATAATGTTTTGGATCATTGTCCTGCTGGAAGATCCATCTACAACCCAGTTTTAGCTTTTTTTCCCCCAGATCTTCATTCAAAATCTCCTGGGACTTCATGGTGTCCATGATGCCATGTATCCTGGGGAAAACAGCACTAGATCATTCATCATAGTACCGTTCAAAAGTCAGAGGCCACCCTTCATTTATTACATATCCAGTTAAAACAGCCATTAAGTACAAATTATTCATCATCCTCTCTCCTCTTAAGTAATGAGGAGACTAAACCTTTTATAGTCTTCTCCCTAGTGGTTAACAGGCAGAAAGGCAGAAACCATTTAAGAAAAAGTGGGGGGGCAAACATCACAACCACAACCTTATCACATAATTCTTCTGTATGTACACATTTAATACAAGGCATCAGTCAGGTAACAACCATTAAACAGCAGACAAAACATTAAATATAATAAAAGAAAGTTTTACAATATTTTATTACCCCCTCTAACATGGGCCAATCCACATGCTCCACTCTGGGCATGCTTGCCCAACTTGCCCTGGAACTTTAAAAGCCAGGTAAACTGTTCAGACTCTTTTCCTGCTTGATGTGAAATGCTGACACCCCAGATCAGTATGAATTCTGACATGCTTAAATGTAAGTAGCTGCCACTAACTCACAAACTCAGTTGTGAAAGGAGATTAAACTGATAATGTGGTAAACAACCAAGCTAGCATGTAGCTGAGATAAGGAGGTTGTTTGGGAGTAGCAAGTGATAAAAAAGACAGAATGTGTGCATGTGGGCTACTAATGTCACTAATCTGATATGCCTGATCTGGGTAATGAAGACCTTCAGGAATAGCTGAATATTAGAGCCAGGTGTGCTGGATCTGAATTCTCCAGTGTGGTTGCTCTCCAGGACCAGGATTGAGCCCCTGGTGTAATGTATGTCTAAGTGTGTGTGGTGTGTAGAGTGTGTGCCTTTGTGTGTAGTTTGCATAGTGTGTATGCTTGGCTTATTATCCTTGTACCCATGTGCCCTCAGAATAACATGACAGTTTTGCACAAGTGACGACATTAAAACAGAAATCAATAGAAACCAATGGAAGTCCTCACATGTAATGTAAGACAAACGTGTGAGAGTGTGTAGTGCATAGTGGGTGGATGTTAAATAGCTTTTTCCACAGTCTTAAACTGCAGTAGCATCGGTCATCAGGAAAAGCTGGATGAGAAGCACTGAGCTGAGATCATAAATCGAGAATAATGGCAGGTAAGAGCAACTGAAACATTTTAAACAGAGTTTTTCCATTTTAAAAGCAGTGCATTTTGTTATAGCTATATGAGTAGATTAGAGCTTCATCAGAATGGATTTATAGAATTAACATATTATAATTAACCTGAACATGAGGTGATCACAGGTTCCAGTTTTCATCACTGACATGTCTTGTTGATTTTCTAAGTGAAAATAAGTTTATACATCCTCTACAGAGATCGAATGTTTTAATGCACAGTTTCTGTTACCGTTTATTTGCTGCATTCAACATATTGGTTGAAAATGAAACATACAATGTGGCCTGTGCAAAAGTTCTGGTACATTTCATTTTTTTTTAATATATTAAACTCAGAAAATGTGTGCAATTTGTGCACTAAAGTTTGCAGAAATCTGCCATATTTAAGTTAAATGACCCTTAATTGTTCCATAACAGGGAAATTTCACCTCTGCATTCTGACCCATCCATGCAGTGAAACACCGCATACACACACCCACTAGAGGCCAGTGAGTACACTTGCCCAGAGCAGGGACAGCCCTATCCACAGTGCAGTAGGGCATTAGGTGCCTTGCTCAAGAGCACTTCAGTCATGTTCTGTCAGCTCAGGGGCTCAAACCGACAACCTTCCGGTCATAAGGCTGGTTCCCTAACCTCCAGCCCATGACTGGCCCAGTGTATGTGTGTTCCCTATATATGTGTGTTAACTTATTTTCACTTAGAAAATTGCAAAACAATGTTTGATTGGAGGTGTTCACTTTTGCATATGACTGTTTATCAGTAAAAGTAAATGGTTCCACTTCCTCTGTCTCATACCAGTAGATTACGTCTCCAAAAAGAACTGGTTGCCGTTAGTTGATTTATCCATTCTCCTGCAGGCTCTTTCCACTGTAGTCTACTGAAGTGACATTACCAATATTATTGGCATTACATGGCACATCAGACTTGCACTTCAAATATAAACAAAATCTCAGCATTACAGTAGCTGGAAATCTAAAATTTACAATACAGTGTATTGCTTGTCTGTAATATTTTGGATATTTTAGTAAATTGAAATAACCTACTGTCTAGCTTAACCCCTTTATGCCCATACTGTAATTTTTGTCTGATCACTCTTGTGCCTATATGTGGTGAGTTTATACACTATTAAAAAAGATGCTTCTTCAAGGGTTCTTTAGCAAAGAAAATTGCTCTATATATATATCCACAAACGCTCAAGGAACCTTTGGAATCACTTACAAAAAATAAACAAAAATAAGATAAACAAAAATAAAAAGGATATTCAACCAAAAATGAAAGAAAGTAGAATAAAAGACTTCAGAGGCTGAGTTCTTGTGGAAAGGAGAAAAAGGCCTCTTTATTTCAGCATCAGGTGGCACAGGGTCTCGTGAGACCCAACTGTGCAATTACAGTGTTCCAAACGACAGTCTATATACCATTTATCTGGGGTAATGTGATATCCCCCCGCCTTACTTCTCAATTTTTAATATTAGCTCATTCTCTAATAAGTGTAACTCTTCATCCATCAATTTGGCCATCGCATGATGAGCTCACTCCTAAAAACTTGTTTCAACAGGTTTTTACCAATCTGCTCTACCTTTCAAGGTCAGCTTGACCTTCACTGGGTCATAGGTACACACAGGCTTCTCTGTGAACCCAGTGGCTTTCCAGTGTCTAGAATCTCCTGTGCAGACAGTCTAAGGCCTACCCTTTGTGAGAGAATTCATATTCTCTGTTAGGCAATACTTCCTATTTGGTTATTGATTACAACATCTAATCTATTTGATTACTTATTAAGGGAATATTTATTCAAAATCTCAGTCATTTTCCCCCTTTTCACGGTTTACCGTGAACCTTATACTTGATTAACATGTTTAACATACCAAACAGTGAGTAATGCTGAATTACATATTATAAATGTTGAACAAGTAAAATAATATCAAAATAAGTGAAGAAAAATAAAAAAGAAAAATTCAAAGTAAAAGAAAACTCAAAGTAAAAATAAAATAAAAACCCAAATAGTCATTTCCCTCCTTAAATGATCATTGTTTGTGTATTGGAACCTGTCAGGCAGTGTAAATTATACTGCTAAACTCACTATAAATTTATTAGCCCAATTATCAGTCTGGTGAACTTTTTGCATAGGGGGTGAGTATAGCTGCATAAGGCACGGCAAATCTGGGTCTTCCTGGTTATAAAGCTTCTCAGAGCTACTATACAGGCTCTTTACGTCCCACATAGCAGGTGTCCCAAGAAAGAAAGAGCAACAATTGGACCATTCCAGTCCCAGCTCTCAACCCCAAAGAGGCAACTGGTGTCTTGAACCCAACTTCTTGGATGTCAGTAGCCAGCATCAGCCTGAAAGCAAACCAGACCCTTGAAATAGTTAACAAACATATTTACTTGCCAATGTATTATAACATTTCCCAAAACACAAACTAATGTCACTTAAGGATAGAATGAGTAATGTTACGACCCGGTCTAGGTCGGGCCGCAACATAAAAATAAAGAGACCTCCATGTCCTCCCGGTTCCCCAAGTCACACAGACAACCAATTTTTGCGACAATAACAATTTGGCTTTATTTTCAAGAGTTCAAGGCTTTAGACATTTATGAAACGTTAGGGGAGGGAAGGGGAAAATAACAAAGACACATCTAACTTAAGTTTAGAAAAATATAACTTCCCTAACAAACAAAAAGAAAATCAAACACAATTTCTAACCTAACTTCCTAACTAAAGCAACCCAGGAGAAAAAGACAACAAAAATAACCCCCTTTTCCCCAATGAGAGTTTATGTACAAGAGCTATTGTCTGGGCAGCCACGGTAGCTGAGTGTTTACAGTATACTTCAATGAAAGTGTAATGGCATGAGCTAGCTTTTACAAAAATCTCAACGACAAACAGCAAAGCACCAATAAACCATACACCAGTAGCCAAGCTCTCACACCAACACTGCTCTACAGCAGTAGTGTCGCTCAAGTGACTGCAGGGAACCGGGAACACAATGAAAGCCACGCCAGAAGCAAAAGCACCGCACTTCTTCCTGGGCGTCTCCCTTTTATTGGCGGCTCCCCCTGGTGGTGGCTCAGTGTATCTTCCCTCAGCTCTGCAATAAATACAGAAGACACACTACAAAAGAAAAACTATGACCCATAGGGTCATAACAGTGAACAAAATAAAAGAAAACTTAGATAAAAGAATACATGGATTAATAGGCCATCACTCAGTCCTAATTAATTCCTTGAGCTGGTGCAACACGGTAAGTCACATGAAAGTTGTTACTGGTTGTAGGAGTTTCAACTTGAAAGGAAATTATCCCATAATATTCCCCACAATTTTGATAATCATCTACGTACCAAAGGTGTAACACAACACTCCAAAAATAATAAAACCACAGGAATAACCAATAGAATCATACCCATTCTTAATAAGATAGCTGTCCACTGACTAGAGAATAACCTTTTAAACTACCCCCCCCCAGCAAATAGAGAAGGACCTTTAGTATTTTCCACATGTTCGTTCCTAAGTGCCCTTAACTGATCCATTACTTTCATGAAACTACCTTTTACTGCTGTATCTATTGGAATGTAACCACAGCATTCATTCCCAAAAGGAACATATATGCCCTAATCAGGAACTCTCGTAATGTCAATTGCAAACTGATTTTGTAGTGCCATACGAAGAGTAGCATCTAGTTGCTGACCCAGCAATTCGAAAGCTTTGATAGTGTAATTTATTTGTTGATTATACCAAATATAAGTTATCCACTTGGCATTTTGTGATGCTTGAATACTTGGTAAAAACACAGATAAATCTCCTTTGCTCTCATCTGACATGGCTTTAAACTCTGGTGGTACATTAACAGGAACACCTGCCCAATTTAGTGTTGGTTTGTTTTCTTGCCAAGTAATGTCCTTCTTATGTCCAGTTGTTATTTCTCCCCATGCAAATATAAGACCAATCCCACTAAGAGTAAATGGAGCACAATTATCTGATAAGCATCGTAGTAGATCTTTTCCTTCTTTATAAATCCTAAATATGTCTGCTACAGGGTTAGATCCTACAGTAAAGTCTATGTCAAAGGTAACATTCCCTTTATTGTTTATTTGAATAGTGGCATTTAACTTTCTATCATATCTAGTAGCAAAGCTATTCATCTCATTACCTTCTTCTAGACAAAAACAAAATGGATAATTTAATCTACCATCCTTAATTACCAGAGGTGGAGCTGTAAAAGGTTTGCTCATAGCTGTACAATTGTCGAAACCCTTGTTTCTAAAAACCTTTGGGCTTAAACTATCCAGTAAACAGAGTAAAGGCAGATTGTAACGCTTTCCCGACACTCTTCTGATCCTCCTATAGCCACTATACTTGGTACATGTTTGGAATGGCATGTTATACAATCTTCATGTTGATTTCAGCAGTATAGCGTAAGTAATGATACAGTATATTTTGGGAAGCATATTCTGTGACAACCATCCCTTTTTCTTCAGATTAGTCTTCTCTAATGGGTCTTCTATAACTTTTTGTCCTATTTTCATCATCTCACGTGCCTTCCATTTTTGAACAACTCCTTTGGAATTATTTCTATTAATAGTCTTATAACAGATGATTGGTTCACACTTATATCCTTGCCAGAGGACTAACTCACACCTTGCTCCTACTGTCATTCTTATTGAAACTTTACATCAATCACCTTTTAAAATCCCTATTTTTTTTATTTTCCCTTTAATGTCTTTTAAATATGCTTTGGTACCTATGCTCCTATATGTTACATAGGAATCACCTGCTGGCAATGAGTGATTAGTTCTAAGGAGTAGCAAAAGAGAACACACATTATAGCCCATTGTTTTTCCTGCTAGGTGTAACACTTGGTCCAACACAAGTAGGCTCTTTTGTACAATTGGAAATACCTGGAAACCATTGACAACAGCAAGATTGATTTGCATTTGCATGTCCCTTTTGACTCTGTCCATTCATGCAACACCTTGAACTCATTCG